CTTGGGATCCACTGATATTCAAGTGCAGAAAGTGTTGGTGACTAGTTGTGACTCATTTGGGTATGTGCCGAAAGAAGGGGAGCCCCCAAAATTGTGTATTTCTTGTGGCGTCCCTTTCAAACCAAAATTCAATAGGGTTGCCTCGAAATGTGTGACCTAGCTGCCGGCCTGCCTGCTCCCGCCTGCGGGCGGAGCCTTCGCGCGTCCAGAGCCGCTCTGACTTAGGCCTTTGGCCGGACGGGCCATTCCGGCCCTTCGGCCGGATCCGGAGTGCGGGCTGCAATGGGCTGTCGGCATGAGCCAAGAGACTTTTGTCCGAACGAAGCGCCACTTCGGACTTTCCATCTCTGGCGCGCTAAGTGGACGTTCTGTGGAAGCCAAATGAGGACTACAAACACTGTCCTGTTATTTTGGGCACCAAAACTTGTGGAGCGGCCCCAAACCTTTTTGGGAACCTCGGCAAACTTGGTTTTTCCAAGGCTCACCCGAACCCCCCGAAGACGGCGAGTATGGCACCGACGCCGTGCTCCCGCCCTTCCAAAACGCCATCGGCGTGTGGCGGCTTGCCTGCCACCGCCGAGAAAGCACGGCTCCATGCAGGCGCTCCCGGCCCCCGAATCGGCCGATTTGGCGAGCTCACCTGGTAGAACAAGCTCACCATATTGAGGCCCAATCCAAGTCTTGTTTCAGGTGGAGTTTGAAATTGCGGTATCCCTCAAGAAGCTTCGAACCTCTCACATCACGGACAGGTATGGGCCTTGCGCACTGTGACACCACTGGAAGGCATCTACCGAAGACTAGTCCCCCATTTCATCCCCATTTCAAGGCAACTCCTTGACCCTGCTGACATGCTTGGGATCCAGGAGAATGCTTTAAGACACGTGTGCTGCTCTTCGTTTCGAGTGCTGGCAAGTGCGGAAAAGATAGTCCGAAAACTAGGGCAGTCCCAAAATAATTGGTGTCTTCTTGTCTTCCCTTCAAAACCAACCAAAAGGGGAAACCACAAACCTACCCAACTGCTCCTTTGTGGGGAGTCTAACATTGGGTTGTCATTGCCACGACCTATAGAACTCTAACCCAATCGCACAGAGCTTTCCTCCAGGATTGTAAGTGGAATCTGTGCACACACGAAAATTACGAGGCTTGTTGAGGGTCCCCTTTTGGGGAAAAGGGACATTGCATTCTTTTCTACAGGTTCCCTTAATTAATGAAGGACAAACCGGCTTGTGTTTCTGGAGATTGAGATGAACATTATGCCGCTCGCCTTTCAGATTTCAGCCGGGGGCGTGAGCCGATCCTGCATAGCCTAAATTTGCGCTTCCAGGCCAGGCTCGCTACGTGGCTGGGGGCATCAAATTCAAGCCGGTTACCCCACTTTCGGCAATTGACGTCAACTGCAATCAACTATTACCGTGTATGTACATAAGTTTGTTTGTCGATATATATATATATACACATAATACTACACATGGACTCATATGACATCAGCCAATCTCACTGATATCTACTGCCAGACATGTGTGGAATAGATCCTTCGCCTGGTTTCATTTGCGCTCGGAATCGATCGGGCCGTGGGTGCGGCCGCGTTTTGCCCCGCGGACCCTCTAGACACTGGTCCAAGGCCGAGAGTCTGCGGTTCACGGTGAGAACAAGGACCTGATCCCTGAGTTTCAAAGGGCAATCCACGAACAGACACAAAGAGCAAAGAACGGCACAAAGGGAAATCCGCAAAAAAACACGCAACAACCAAACAGGACCAAAGGAGCAAACAACAACCAAGAGCATCAAATCAAAACACAGAACTGAGGCCAGCAACTGGGTTAGGTCAGGGCGATCAAGTGGTGCTGGAATGTGCTGGACCCATCTGAACTCTTGGGGTCTGGTCTGGGGATATGGGGAACTTCCTATCTTTCCCTTGGACAAGAATCGAATTGGTAAGTGAGAAGAAGCAAGCTGAAAGCAGGCGAATTCATGGATTTGCAACCAAACTGAGACGTATCGCTGGCCTGTTCCCACACGCATTTGCTTCTCTCATAGCTGGGCTGTTCCCTGTGGGGTTGGAATGAACCAAAATCGGTCAAAACAAAAGGAGCCTGGTCGAGAAAAGGTGCACGGCCAGAGCGGTACTCCATGCCTCTTGGCTCCGGGGCCCGGGGTGCGTCTGCCATTTTGGGACACCGCCAAGATGAATGCGATACTGAGGCAACACATGTGGTCCAAGGTAGCCTCGCAGCCGTCTCAAATGTAATGAACACCTTACAATCACATCAGAAGGGTGCACAACCGGTGAAGCCCTGGGATTAGTGTCGAATTCCTATTTCAGGTCTATTCCGCCCCCCCGCGGCACGTCTCGGGGATGCTTCCTTTTTGGGCCCATATCTTGCCGGGAGGGTAGGCCTTAGGCAGCGAAAGCGAACCAAAAGTGCACACGCGATGTGCGGCGAATCATAGACTCTCAGGCCAGCCTAAAGGGCAAGATGTGGGTGTAATAGGGGACCCCCCTCTTGCGTGCAAAGGGAAACCAAAAGGACCCAGTGCAGACATTATCAGAGGAACCAACCGGAAAACCAGTGCAGCCATTCACTAGAAATTGAATCCCACTGGAAGGAAACCCCGCCTGGAGGTTGACCATAAGTGGCCATGGGTCAAACTCCCGTACCCCCAGTGAACATCCCAAACCTCTCGAAAATAGGTTCTAAAATGGGTGGTGCACCTATACCAAAATGGGATCCCATTGGTTTTGACCCACAGACAAGTTATTTTAGGGGTCCCCTTTGGTTGAAACACCCAGGCCTTTTCTGGCGCAGGCGAGCTGGCCTGCGGGTGAACGCCCAGACCTCCGCGAAGCCATGCAAAATGATCCACTGGAGCACACGGAGCACAAAGACGTCTTTGGTAAAGTAATGCTAACAATGATATATTGATATGTTCAATTCAATTGGTGATACTAGCGAAAAATAATGATCAACCAAGTAACTCGGAACTCGACAAAACATCATCTTTAGAGGAGTATGCCCTTGGGGTATTCTCTTTTTGGGTTCCACTTTGGTGGAATGTTGAGGGTCTCACTTCCGGAGTGGAATCACAAAAACGTCCAGGCCTCTTGCCAAATCACCACTCGAGTGCTTCTCCCAAATAAGTTTCATATTTAGGGTCGACTGGGGACGTGAGGGCTTGTTCAAAAACAAAATGTCCCCCAAGTTGGGACCAAAAGGGTGCCCATTGACTTTCCTTTTCGTAGCCTTACGAAGTGTTCACCCAGGCCCCAACCTGAGCCTCCCCATTTTCAGCAACCCCCATGTGGCTGTGGAACCCTGGCGAATGGAACCCATGACTAAAACAGGCGGTCCCCTAGTGGTTTCATTTTCAGCAACCAGCAAAGGGTGAAGTGATCTGCTTGTCCGGTGGCTCTGCCCCTCGGCGGAGGGAAGCGTTCTGCGAATTGGCATCCTTCAGGCATGCTGCCACCTGTCGAGTTTGAACCAAGGTGTTTTTTTTTGGAAATTGGGTATATATACCCATTGCATGCTTTCAACAGGGTTGGGGTCGTGGAATTCTTGCTGAAATGCGTGAGACTCCTTATGGCTTAAACTCCACGCCATCTTCGGATTTGAAGGAGGATCACACCCGGAGCGGTTCCCTTTCTGTGGGAAATCTACCCCCTGGACACCTTAGCCGACCTTTTGTATCTCAGTCCACCTTGGTCAAAGCCATTGTCACTTGTTTTGTGATTTCTCTCTTGTTGTTTTTGTTGGGGGCGAGTTGTCCCTGTTGTGTTGCTGTGTGTTGCTTTCAAGGAAAACTGTGCATCCCTTCAGGTTTTGGAAACAAAGGTATACGTCATGCCAGTTACTCGGTTTAGGCCATAGAAATTATGAAACCATTCCTCAAACCCCAGCTGGTTGAGCCATGCTAACTTCGCATTCATCCGGAGGACCATAGTATGAAGTAATTCAAAACCGGAAAGAAGGAACGCCCACAAAAAAGAAGACTTTCATCTCATGAGCTCGCTTCCACCGATCGGTTTCACGAAACCCTCAACCCCCCTTTCCATCCGCGCTCTAGGATATGTCAGCATCAGCAAAGTAACTAATTCCACCTTGATCAGGGGAAATGACAGATTAGCAAAGTGGATCTTATCCATTAGCAACTTTCCATCTACTAGCACCTAATTTGCAGTGGATACTGGACATAGCGCAGTGACAAGATCAAGTCCAATGGCTTGGATCTGATCGAGGCATTAAAAAGAAAAAAACAGCGCTTCGGAGTCCCAGAAAGAGGCTGCACCGGCTTAGGTAAATCCGTTTCATCGCCATTCTGCCAAAGCCCCTGAATCCTGAAAAAAAAAAAACATACCCCCTGCGAAGAAAGCACACTCTTACCAAGGAAAAGAGGGTTCCGTTTGCAGCTCACCACCGGTTTCGTTCAAAGTGGGCCTCAAGCCTGGGGATGTCGCAACAGACGGTTGCCTCAAAATGGGGAACCCTTGGAAAATGGTGGTTCTTTGGTCTAGGCAAAATGGGGCTCCCCTAAAAAACGAGACGCACCAAAGAACTCACCACAAAGCGGCCCGCAGGGTAAGAAGCGCGAAACAAAGAGACAGGACACTTCCCGGCAACCTTCCGATGAAGGGAGACCGTTCTCGGGCTTCTTTCGAACCCTTTCGGGAAGGCAGGGCTCGTGGTTCGCCCGTAACCAGCAAATGGCCGCAAAAGGTGACGTTGAAACCAGCTGAAAGGGGAAATATGGGTGTGGGTCAAAAAATGCACCAAAACGGCTCCTTGTATATGGAAAGACTAAAACCTGCGTAACCCTGGCTGTTTAATTTTGAGCCACACCCTGTTTAATTTTGAGCCACACCCATATAGAGTCGCTCTTGGGACACCTGAGCGGCCCGAGACACACAAACCACAAACCCACGGAATCCTTCCCAGTGTGTTTTCTCAAGCATCACTTTCTCAATTTCGTGGAGCCATCGCGCCGGGTTTACTTCATGTTCAGGGACTAGGCTCCGAAGCTCCTTTCTTTCTCCGCGGAGCTTTGGCGGAATTCGGCTGCATTTTGGATTTCGACCGGAAGCCGAACTCTGCATAGAAACTAAGTACATGCACTTTGGCGACGCTTTCGTGGCGTGCGAATTCAACACTCACTTCCGCCGCGAAAAATGTCGCGGGCTTTCGCTCTCGCCCTGCGTGTTAGCATTCCCCCGGAGCGCCACTTTCCCCGGGAGCACCGCCCTGCCTAGGGATGAGTTGGCACCTGGGGCGGCGTCTGGGACGAGTCTGTGGTCGCTGCCATGAGCTGCAGCTCCACAAGCCGGTCGCTATAGGGGTCTCATAGGGTCTCTTTCCGTGGGAATCTGGCCGTGAAGTGGAGAACTTGTCAGTCAAAAGGCCAGTTGGTTCTTTCCCAGTGGAAAGGCGGACAATATGGTTTGGTATTCCAGTAGCCATTGATGATTTTGGAAGCACCCTGCCACGAGTGCAGCAAATGGGTCTGTACCTGCGGGCAATGTGCATCGATGGCTGAAGCGGCCATCCGCGAAAGTTCCACGGATTTAAAAGGCCAAGAAACGTCCTTTCAGAGCAAGCTTAAATGTCACCGAGCAAACAAACAAGCGGGACTCCCAAAAATGTCCCTCTCAAACACGACCCAATTCTGACTGGTTTGCTCTCGGTTTGCTTTCAGCGCCATCCAAAAGGCAGGGTCGATGCGCAATTTTGGAACACGCCCCTCACAAAAACCAACATTGCCCCAAAGCAATGTTACAGCACCCAACAACAACAACAACAAAAACAAACAAGACCACAAACAGCAACTGATTGCTGGGAACTGGCTTGCTCGTTCAGTCCAAACTGGCCATCCCATGCCCCAATGTCACCCATAACATTGATCCCCAATTAATATGCCTTGCAAGTCAATAGGCAATGCTTGAAATCGTGGACCCCCAATGAATGCGCCAGGGAAGAATCCCTGGGTCAACATGAATCGCTTCTCGTCGGGCATCCCGGCAGCCCGCCCGTCGAACAGCTGGAACCTGCCGCAAGGCTTAGGAGTTTCGGATCTTTCAAGAAAGCAAACTACAAGGTGTAAAAGGCCGGCCCCAAAAGCATAGTCTAGCGCCATACATATCTGCTTCCGTACATTTTACGTTCCCAAAGGACCCCAATCTTTGCCAACCCATGTGTTCACGGCTTACCTGTTAAACTTGTTAAAACAAACTTTGGACTCAAGGTCAACCCATATGGAAGTTGCTCTCAGTTGGCATGCCCAACCAATTGGTACAGTTCGCACATATTGCAGGTTAGATCTCCCCGAAAATGGGTGCGCAACAGCTCGGGGGTGCGTGCTCACTACGGGGTAGCGAACTTCTCCCGAATGTGTCAACGATCCGCTCCATGAATGCCACGTTGTTGAACAGATCTGGGCAACAAGCAACATGGGTCAGTCTAAGCCGGCATCCCAAAGCGGATTCCTCTGGTTTGCTTGAAAACCCCCAAGCAAGGGTGCCCTCAGCAACACGCTTACCCAATAAAACCAGAGGCTCCTCATGGTTTGCTCTTGACTTCTCTTCGGAATCCACTAAGGGGCTACACCAAAACCACACACCCGATGTGTACATTGTCTCAAACGTTGGGCTCCCAAACGTGGTAGACGGCTTCCTTGGCTTCCTATCAAGACCGGGAATTCGCCACTTAGGCTTGATGGCTATTCCCCGCTGCCCAAAAAAACTTGACTTCTTGCAGGTTAGTGGGAAGATCGTCGTTGTTGAAAAAACACCAGGGTTAGGTTGGCCCCCCCATTCCGTTCGCTCCTTATCAGAAGCTGCCAAAGAGACTCCGACATGAAAAGCGGGATCCCTGGACATGGTAGCCGCTACCTGGAGTCTCCAACACCCCCCATTCCGTTCGCTCCTTATCAGAAGATGCTAAAGAGACTCCGACATGAAAAGCGGGATCCCTGGACATGGTAGCCGCTACCTGGAGTCTCCAACACAAACCATGGAGTCGTGAACCCTCAATTGGGTCATAGCCCAATGTTTGCAGACTAACTTCTTGAGTGGAGTCGCTCAGAAAGTCCATGTTCTTGTTTTCCAGGTAAATTGTCTTCCTAAAAGAAGTAATAATTATCGGGTGGATTGAGCCTTGAAGTCAAGAGACGGTTGAAGCTGCACACACACACATCAATCTTTCAAAGCCCGCCGTTTCCACAGGAAGCAACACATACGTTCAAAGGGCTTCCGTGTATTTCACCCAGGTCGTTCGTTGTTGAACCTGGAAGGCGAACCACCAAGTACGAGGAGTCTATTCCCAAAGTATCCAGCATCCTCAGTGTGTCCAACAAATGCGAAAAGCACCCCCTTGCTTTGGAGGGCTTTGAAGGCAGAAGGAGACCATGTCCGATGCTTTCTTTGTTCAGTTGCGGGGATTCAATCCAATTGCAGATCCCCAAGCGTCGACTCTTTTCAGGAATCCCCATGTGGGGGTTTCTTAAAGGAGCACCGAAACATTGTTGTTTCCTTTGGTTTCCCAAAAGCCACCAACCAAAAAGGGCTTCATTTTGAGAACCTCCATGTAGATGCCTTGTTTTGAGGAGCTTTGTTTCGGAGTGGTTCTGAAGGGATGCCAAAAGGAATCTATAATTATTTTTGAGGGTTCCCCTTTTGAGACGAGCCCATGTAGCCCCTCCCTAGTTTTTCCCCCATCCCCTCAGATCCCCAAAACGAATTGGGCGCACCAGGGGTGCTGGAGGCACTCTTCGGCACTGAGCCGGCGAGCTGGATTCGCAGCCACCTCGCCCGGTTTCTTGCGCGGCGAAAGAAAGTCCCAATGGCCATGGGGCATAACCTATGGCGAGCCATTTTGGGGTGGATGAAGATCCATTTGCACCTATTTTGATGTTCCCAGGGGTACAGGGTTTTGACCCACAGCCAAATGAGCGCCCGAAACCTGGTGTGTTTTCTTGCTGGTGCACATGGAATGAGGGAATCACCCCCCAAAAAAACATCCCCTATGGTTTCCTTTGAGGGAAGATCGGTTCATTCCCTCATTCCCTGCTGAGCACAAGCAACTTTTGCTTCTATGCTGTGGATGGACGAAATCCGTTCGCACCACTTTGAAGCCATGGGAAGCCATTGTTTGGTGGTATTTACAGGGAAATCATCATTCCAGAGTTTCTTAGGTGGTGCAAGATGTCATCCATCCACAGTATGATGGCTAGATTTTGTTTTTCGGCTTTACCCCTCCAATTAAACCAGTAGAACAACCTACAGGTGTTTTGGGTGCTGCTCAAAAGTGGTTGTGTTTTTGCTAAAGGTACACATTCAGCTTGTTTAAGACGGAAACAAAGCTGTGTTGCTTATTGGGGGGCGGGGGAAGTCTTACAGGATACGTCCAAAAGCCACCTTTACAAGGATTCGGATCCTCCAAATCAGCTGGTTGGCTGTCCACTGGACATGAGGGCCCCTGAGTGCCCAAGAAAGTCCAAATTGGGACACGTCAGGTAAAACACCAGGTTTCATCTGGAGACAATGCCAAAACACACGAGTAAGATTTCCAGGGGCCTGGAACAGAATGGGGAACCTCGCCGCGGAAAAAAATATTGCTTTTAAACAGGATAAGCTCCCCAAACCCTGATCTGGCAGCCAAAAGCGCATGGTTTTGTTTCGCAGCCCCCCACTACCCATGAACAGATTAGACCAAAAGTCAAAGAAGCAAGCCGCCTGCTTGCAGAAGAGTGAACCTGTATTTGTCTTTTTGTTCCCCACGAACCACCCGTAAACCGACAAAAGACCCATGTGACCTTCAAAGGCTTTAGGTGACCTTCGCTGGGCTCCATTGGTGTGTCTCAAGCCCGGCACCAAAAGGCCCGCTGTTAGCGGGGAACCCACCGGAGCCAAAAGGAAAGGAACGTGGAATCCCCGTTTCTTCGACCTCTGGTTCCCCTCGGTTCATCGACCAGGAGCCCGCGCCATTTGGTTGAGCAAATCCATGCCCTGCCCGGGCCGAAGATCCATTTCAGGTCGACCCTTCGCGGGCTCAATCCATGGAGCGCCAGCCAGCGGGCACATCTTTACCAAGACGTGACCTAGCCCAAGGGAAGCCAACGACGGAAAACCACAGGGAAGCAAAAGAGACGCCGTCCCCAAATCCACAGTTTGGAGACAAACGCTTGGGTGGGTGGGTCTGTGTGTGTTGGGTTGTTCCCCGAAACAACAGTCCTGGCAAATGAGAATCTCAGACTACTAACCAAAGTCGTGGGACTAGCAACCGGGCTGAGGGGGCACAACCCCCAAGGTCATATAATTTCCTAAGTAGATTGGTGAAAACAAACCCACACGTTTTTCGATTGCCACTCAAAATGCTTCTCACAAAGTTAAAGTCCACTAACTGGGGAAGTGAGAAGGTATGCGTCAGAAAACAGGGACCGACTTGCAAGATGCTCTCTTCGGGGTGAGCATGAAAGGACACCCATCTTGAGTTGGCGGATGCCCAAGGGCATCCCGCCAAAAGGTAGGTGAAAGCAGGCGCCAAGAAAATGTAGGATTTCAACAAAAACCAGCGTGACTACTCTCTGTCCAACAATCCCGGATGTGGATGTCAGGCATTTTGAAGATGAAAGTAGTTTTCCAAAGCCTTCCTGTCCTCTGGTACAAAGCCAACCATTGGGAGGAGTCCGTTTCGTTTGGACACCTACGTCAAATACTGCAACCTCAAGCCCATGGGTGCCAAATGAACATGGCACCACGTTGTGGGCACGTCTGCAAATGGAGGAGCCCCACACTGGCCGTGTTCCTGTTGGCTCTTGTTCACCACAACTCCAAAAAGGGTACCAAGCATCAACAAACAGGCCTGCCCACGGCAGGAGCCGACAAAATCAATCGTCCAATGCTCGAAGACCCGATCGGAAGGGTAAAACATTGGCCAGAGAGACACGTTCTACCCGTGTGCTTTGGACACTCGAGCAACCGACACTCTTGAACCAGGGGACCCCCAACATGATATGATTTTCCTATGGCTTCAACCAAAAGGGTTTCCAGCAAACACAGCCCAGCGAATTCCCTTCGCCCGCGCCTGAGCAGACATAGGTTCTTTCTTCCAGTGAGCGAGCACTGGAGCTATTCCATCTGGGCCGGAACGAGCCATCTGGTGGTTTCTGCAACGTCGCCTTCTTGGCCCACTTTGGCCAATTCCAAGGCCAAGTACAAAAACCTCTCCGTTCCGACAGGGACCTTCTGCCGGGTTTAGCCTCCAAAAAAACACATCAGCTTTCTCCCAAACAAGGTGCGCAACAACATCATCCGTGGGACATGCGCGGGGGTTCGAGCATATCTTTCCTTCCAACAGCCGTGCAACACAGAGGGGCCCAGTGGAAGAAACGCCCAAGTTGCAACTGTCGAAGTTCTCCCTTTGGGCCAGGTCATGCCCTCAGGCGGCCAGGCGGCCTGATAGTCCAAGATCTCGAGGCTTCATCTCTACATACCCCCGGGGCCATTTTAAGAGGGGAAGTGGGGGAGGCTTCTGGGCATCATATCACACATCCGCCCAGGGAAGCCTAAAATTGCTGGGCAAACCGCCTTGGAAGTCGATGACTTCATTTGCGCTGGGTGATGTTATGCAATCACCCAATTCACCATCGGGATCCTTGAAAAGAGCCGATAAAAGTGAGATGTTTAACATGGCCAACAATATGGATATGAATGTTGATCGGGTAATTACCCTTTGGCGGACATCATGTACAACGTCGTCGACTTTAAAGGGTAGGGGACGCAACCCACTGGAGGTCTGGGTATATCTTGCCCAAGAAAGGGTCCGCCCTTTCTATGATATCAATATGGGGGGACACTCTTGGTATCACAAAAAGCGGGCCTAAACCCACTTAGGTCTGAAAATCGGGGATCCCAAAATACTGGTAACTTCCCTTTTGGGTTCTTCTTTACACCAAATTGAAGGATAGCCCGAAACAAAAATCCACAAGCACAACTCTGCACACAGGCGGAATGGGGCTGCCGGCTGGCCAGGATGTAGTTGAAGCTGCGGTCGATCCGCAGCGTCTGACCTGGCCATGAGTTTGGCGGATTCCGGTTTTAGTGGCCCCCCCCCCCGGCAAAAGGAAAAGCAGGCACCACTTTGATAGAAAACAAGGGGAACAAGCGGATTCGTGTCTTTTTGGTTGGCTAGTTTTGCTTTGGGAAATCCAAACGAAAGGGCTGAGCCTGGTACCCATTTTAGCGACCTGGGGATGGCCATGACTTTTGCCAACCCAAACTGATCGAATCCGGGGATCCAAACCCAAGGGACTCTTTTTGGATGGCTTTCAAAGGCAAACAATAACTCCACCAACGAGAGATCCAACCCATTGTAGGAGACGGTTCGGCCAAAAGCCATGAGCAGCACTTTCTTGGCTCGTGGCTACTGAATGTCACCTTCAAGGGAAATTCCCCCAAGGGCCGCTCACAGAAAACGGCATCCCAAAACCCATCTTTTCTCTGACTTGCGCACTCGAGGAAGGCTCGTTTCATGCACCAGGTAGGGCAGGAAAACACCCGCAAGGCAATGAGCAAACCCAGGGCCTCAAACTTGTCAGCGGCAATCTGCAAGGATGTTGCTCGACAAATGCCTTCCGACCCACATGGGCGTGCTCAGCTGCGCACTTCTATATTTGTTGGTGACAGATTGGTTTCGCGTGCAATCGGTTAGATCTTACAACGACGCTGGATGTTGACAAGTAGCTACCCGTGTTCGAGTGGTATTGGTCCAACACGCCTTTTAAATCAAATGCGCCACTATGATGCATACTGTGCATGCATGTGTGTATATATATATATATATATACACCGATATATATATATATATATATATATGTACATATATATATATATATGCATGCATGTATGTATGTATGTAGGTATTTGTACATGCACGACATCTGAACACACATGCATAGTTGTATATGTTGAAAATATGTGGAAGGGATTATCAAATGAAACCCATAAAACCTCCCGCCTGAGCAATACATTGTTTCAACTCCATGCTTCGCTATGAGCGAAGCGGATATGGAGTTTGCACGCCGCTAGCAGAACGTGTGTATATATTATAATATGTTACATGTACAATAAAAGGAACAAATAAGGCACCTGCATATCCAATGCGGACGACGCGTGGTCGCTGACAATATGTGAATGCCTGCTGTAAACAGACCCTAGTCGAAAGCCTAGACACAAGGACAAAACAAAACACCATTTGCGTGGCTCTTGCTTGACAATGCTCGCAAAAGCTTGGTCCTCGGGACAACACCCTGTTGGGTCTCGAGTTGTGCGTGCAACACGCGCCTGCTGGCACAAGGAAGGCTCACAGCCATTTGCAAGCAAGAGCTGCGCAAGCAAGAGCTATCCAAAAGGGGGTTATTCTGGGGCCCAACCCCTTTTCGAGCATCTGAAAGCAAGAGTAAACTAGCTCGCTTCTCAGCAAATTCACAAGCTTGCGGATCACTGAGCTTGCTCGTTTACCAATCTTGTAGTAGGCTTGTGAGCGTCAGCTACGATGGCGTTCATCAAGGCGCTCGTTGCAATCTGGCTGCGGTGGAACCTGATAGCCACCAGCGTGAGCTGCACAGCCCGTGGACGTCAGGCATGCTGATTCCAAAAATCACGGACCAAGTATCAACCGATCCCTAGCCTAAGCCCCTGAGGCCTCAACAGTTTTTAGCAGCGACACCATCATCGCGCCACCGCGGAGGTGTGAGCCCCGTCCTTTTTAGAGAATCCGCCGGCGAGACCCCAGGGCGGCATGCGCCAATTCAGGATGAAGAGGCACACACCCAGGCTGAAGACGTCCAAAGGCCGCGCCTACAAGGCAGATGGGACCATAAAGGTGGTGAATTTGAGTGGGTGCGCTGTTCATACATATTATATGCATTTATATAGATATATGCATGTTATGCATCATGATAATATGTAAACATATATATATATATATATATAACATCACATTATTTTGATCCGCATGGGTGTCGCACTGAGAGATCTGATTAACGTCAGACATTCAGGTGATGTCTCCTGAGAGACCCTTTCTGCGAGCAGAAGGCACCAACGCCTGCCATTGGGGGTCACTTGTTTGGGGAAAGGACACCATTTGTCGATCGTTTCTTCAAGAAACTAACTGGAAATCAAGCATAAGCACTTTTTGAGGGGCAGCGCCCCCTGATTTCAAGATACATCCAGTTTTCTGGTTCTAAAGGGACGCCAAAGGCTTGGGGTTGGGACGACGGCCCCAATCCAAACGTGTCTCTGCTTGGCAGGAGCGCATTTATCAAACAAATTCAACAACGTAACGTCTTGTTCAAAGCGCCAACCAGCAATTTGCTCGACATTGTGGTTGGATGCGGTTGCTTAACTTGAAGCAGCTTGCAATACTTGTCAAATCAATCATGCGCAGATTCTTATCATGAGCTACTGCGCAAAAGCAAACATCTTTTCAAATCAGAGCATCTTTCGTGACGTGAACATAACTCGTAAAGATCAACCATTGAATCGCCATGCGGTCGCTGTTGCAAGTGATGTAACATTATGTTCGGAATCAACCTCGGCAAGCTGGCAAAAGCTAGCCTTAGGTTTGCATGGGGTTACCCCTCAAGCTCGATTGTCACAAAAGCTGGCCAGACTAAGATCCTATACAAATACTTCCAGTAGTGATAGATTCCCTTTAAAGCCAACAGGGGAAAATAAACACTGTTCTTAAGCAAATGGAAGGAGACCCAGACTTCGGACCGTGAAGTGGCCATCGGACTGTTTCCCGTTTTGCCTCGAATCAGCTTAAGCCCGGGGACCCGCCTCGTAGCCCCAGACTTCAGCTAAGCACTGCCTGACACTCGGCTGGCCGGCTTGGCTGGCTGGCCGGCTGGCTGGCCGGCTGGCTGACATGTTGGTATGTTGGTATGTTAGCATGTTGGCATGTTGCTTTTGGTTGGTTGGTTTGTTGGTAATTGTTTGTGTCTCACCAAAACAGCCTGGCCCGAACATTTCGAGTCGATAAACTGCGTATGGAGGTGAGGGTTAGATCACCGAAGAGTTAGACGGGGCCCGTTTGCTCCAAGTGGGTACTCTGCCAACGCATGGAAGTTGCTCGTCTCTGATCAACCCTGAATGGGTGTCTCAAAATGGGATATGCAACCTGGTGTCCTTTTGACACACTCTCACACACTCAAAACAAAAGGAACAGCCTCGAAAAAGATAGCTAAATCTAGATTTCTGTTGTTCTGTCATCCTAATTATGTTAGGGGGCAATCTTTTTGGGGATCCCCCGAGCTTCATGAGAATGTTCAAGGGACCAAGTTCAGAAGGAAGATCATTTAGACGCGTGCGGGAACAAGGCCACCAGAGTCTGAACACAACGTTGACCAGCTTGGACCCTGCCTCCAAAAACTAAAAGTCACCACACTTTGGAAGACCGTTTCAGTGATCCACATCTGTTGGCAGGGGCAGGGTCTAATCCGACTCCCCCATGACCGAAACGCATCCCCAACCCAGGAACTTGACTGGAACACAGCGACATCTCCCAAAGGTTTGGGTACCCTGAGATTAAACAGAAACCTGGGAACTGAGCTTCAGAATTCTCATGCCATTGGAAGCTGAGGACCTCTATCACAAAAAGAACAGATCAAAGCTTCTAAGAGCGGATCATTGTTCCATTTGTGGTGACCGTGTGGTTGTCCAAACACGTATGGGAGAGCAGGTTCAAGCTCTTGGGGGTGCCTTATGATTTCGGTCCAGTATCACTATCGAAGGTTCACCACTATCCACAGCAAACAAGAAACATGAATCGCCGCGCAGGTGATCGTAGTAAGCGGGAATGTTCAAAGGCGCCGAGGGTGGGGGTTGAATGACGCCATTGCTCGGATCGCTGATGGTGAAGCACAACATGATGGACACTTGAGGCACCATTTTGGATTCGCGTTTAGAAAACTTATTTGGCCAGGGGTCAAAACACCCCGAGTGAACATCCGATTCAATCCCCACTAAAATCGGTTCTAAAATGGGTGGGGAATTCACCTACCCCAAAATGGGATCCCATTGGTTTTGACAACCACAACCAGATGGGCATCATTGTTTGGTAGGTTGTAAACGGAAAGCGCCAGGCGCAAGCTGGCGAAAAAGCAAAAAGGAAATCAAAGGGATCCTTTGGTATCTCCTTTGCCATTTGGAACGCCGGCTTTCCACTCCGTGCATTTCCGCGAAATCCCCGCATTTGAGTTCCCCCGCTGGCCAGGCACTGCATCGTCCGGCAGTCGCACCTGTCGAGTTCGAAGGTGAAAAGAAACGATCGGCTTTAAAGGTTCCTCAAATCCGGAGCGGGGGGGAAGGTATCCAATAGAAAGTCTGGGGAAAAGCTTAAAATACCCATACCCTATTGGGGCTTTTGATTTTGGGAGACCTTTTTTGGTTGTCGGACACCAGGGATTCTGTGGACGGAGAACCAGCTGGATCCATAGGGGTCATTCCATTGCTCATGTCTTGGTTGCTGTCGACCCCCTGCAAAAAGTTTAACTTTTTGGGGGTTTACTGGAGAACACCTTTATTTCCCAAAAAGTTAAAGTCTACTCAAGATCCATCCCAATAGCAGTCAAGATGCGTTCTGAGGCTCTGCGAATCAGCAAGCTTCAGGGCGGGGTGCAAGCCAATGAATAGGGCGAACCCCTTCTCAGAATAGATATCCTTTTGGGGGAAATACATGGCTTTGGTAGATGATCAAACCACCAGGTAAACCAGGGCCATCTATTTTTCGACCAAAACAACCAAAATGGACACCTATGCTTCTCAGGCTATGCACCAAGCCCTTCTGCCTTGTCTCTCCCTGCCAAACATCACGCCAAAGAAAACCGCACTTGAGATCTACGCAAAAAAATGCGCGAACCGCCCGATGAAAAGAAATGTAAGGACTCCTGGTTTGTCGAACCAACACAAACATAGCCTTCCTGTTAAACCTCGCCTGATAGTCTTCTACTATCACCCTCTCTCAGGTGATTTCAGGCCATGCAATCTCCAGGACCTCTCTGATCAGGTAGGTTTCCTTTCCATAGCCGGGAGGCTAAACTTCTGCGTGTAGGAAAGAAAAGGTCAACAAGCTGGAAACCAAAACATACGCACAGGAGTTTCTCAAATTGAGGACCTACCCCAAAATGGTACCATTGGTTTGAACCCACAGCCATATGTAGCATATGACAACTGCTGATCAAAGTGTTGACAATGAGGGGTGTTTCTGTTGGTTTCCTTCTTACACATGCTTGTGAGCTTCAATGATTCCAGTACAAAAAGAGAACACACACTCCACTTCTGACGGCCACTTGAAGGCGGTATTTGGCAACATCTCGCTTCCTAAGTTTCTGGACTTTATTGTTGGGAGGACATAAGTTGAATGGGAATCACTTGCACGTGTATTTTTTCCCGCAACAGCTGCTTTCAGCCATTGGGTCTTTGCCCCAAGCTCCGGAGTGGGTTGCGGGGTGATGGGGATACCAACTGGGCTGGGCCAATCCACTCGGGGGAGATACACCTTCGACGTCGCCTCTGCACATGCTGACGCCTCTTGCATTGCTAGGGTGTTTTGAGTATAGGGTCCCCTATGTCTGGTTTTCTGTTGGTTCCCCTGTGCTCCCGTTTAAATACCAACCGAAAGGGGTCCGCCGTGTTGAGAAGCTCCCATGTAGGCTTGTCTCTAAATATGGCATGCAATCTCACCCTTTAAACCAGGTCTAAACATGGTGCCCTTCAAGAAGCCAAGCATGCAGCGGTTTCTCAAAATAAGGGTCTCCTAACATGTTTGGTTTCCTAGTGGTTTCAATGTTGGTCTATTTTATTGGGGATTGGGATGTTCACTGGGGGTACGGGATTTTGACCCATGGCCATATTTAGACTCAAAGAGCATTCCAAAAATGGGTCCAACAAGGGGCGCGGCTTTGCGCAGATCCGCAGATCCGCAGATCCGCAGATCTGTCGGAGCTCTGGAGCCCGGGCCTCACACAGGTAGCCGTTCGGCTGCCCATCCGCCCCGATGTTGTCGGTGAAAACCACCTGGGCCCCGAGGAATTGGCCGGCGACGCCTACTTGGTGTCACGGGACCCGGGGGTTACACGTTTCGGAGGCTAACAATCCCGGACGGACATGGAAAGAAAAGGGCACCGGTGTTTGGTAGGTCTTAAAAGGAAAACGCCAGGCGCAAGCTGACGAAGAAGCAAAGGGGAAATCAAAGGTTAACTTTGGTGTCTCCTGGTTCCCTTATCTCCAGGGAACCCATCGGGAAGACTACGAGCTGCTTGACCGTTTGATGGTTTCCATTTCTAGGGGCTCCCAAAATATTGTGGGGGTGGATGTCCCATACTCAGCTTAAACCTTTTGGAACCTTGACTTCAATCGAACAAAACGTGGAAACCAAGAGATCAACAGGTCGGCTTTGGGCAAGTGAGTCTACACGAATTAGCAAACTTCCGGTCGCATCAGGTGCGTCCAAGGCTGGCGCATCGTTGGGCGCGGCGTCGGCCGGAACTATGACATCCACCTGCGAAGTGAACCCTCGAAACCGTGCACACATAGTAGAACCCCCGGATAAATTTGGGGGGGGTGCTGTCTCTCCTTTCATTTAGGCGTCCCCTGCAAGACCGACGTTGACAAGTGCCCCCAATGCACCAAAGGTCCTGTAATTGAACCGTTTGACGCCTTTTTTGGAACCCTTGCAGGTGCTTTTTCGGCCCTGTTGGTATTGGGGTTTTGACATGGTTTTTGTTTGTTGTTTGTTTGTGTTGTTTTTTGGGGAGGGACTTCACAGCCACAAGGTGTTTTGCAGCCCCCTACGGAATCCGAAGACACTTCAAAAGGAGCCTGACAAGGGGGGGGGGGCTTGGCGCACCAGTTGGTTTCCTCTTTTTGGCAGAAACGCCTGGATCACCCCGTGTCAACCCTCTCGCAGTCCAACTACATAAGAATGCAGGTCCAAGAACTGCGGCTGAGGGGCTCCACCAAACCAGCGTGCCCCATAATGACAGCCTACCAAAATCCTTCACATGCCTGAAGGCAATCATGCTGCAACAGAAGGCTCAAATTTTGGAGAGTCCTTCCCTTCCAATTCAAGGGTGGGTATCGAATTTAATCTGGAGGTTGCCTTGGCATATCCTCGGTGTCAACCGTCTTGCCGTCAAACGCATGTGTGTGTGTGCGTTTTGGGGTATCGCAAGAGGAGGCATATCGTCTTCCAAGACCCTAACGTAAGCTTCTATGATTGTTGGAGGGGTTGCATTGTTTATGTTGGCTTGTTGACACGATCCAACTTGGTGTTCATGTTGACTTTGCAAAAACAGGCGACTTGCCACGATGGGACTTGGGAGCTAGTTTGTGTCGCGGAGGCAATTCTGGCGTAGGCTGGCGCAGGCTCGCGTAGGCTGGCATAGGCTCACACACACACACACACACACACACACACACACACACACACACACACACACACACACACACACACACACACACACACCCACACGCACACGCACACGCACACGCACACGCACACACGCACACGCACACGCACACGCACACGCACACGCACACGCACACGCACACGCACACGCACACGCACACGCACACGCACACGCACACGCACACGCACTTGCACACGCACACGCTCACGCACACGCACACGCACACGCACACGCACACGCACACGCACACGCGCACACACACACACACACACCTACCATGATTATTGGCAAAAGGACTGTTGTAAACCTAGCTATAGTTGGGACTTGTTTGACAGATGCGTACGAACGCGCATATAAATAATGCTATACCTGCTAGTTCGTTTCAAGCCCAAACCACATGATCAACCAGGATCCCCTGGTGGGACTTCACGCGCGGCCAACCCCAGGTGGTGAAAACTAGGGTTGGGATCAGCTTTGAACGGCGGCAGGTTCCAAAACTGGGTTATATGATAGACCCCATGTGTCAAGGGTGCAACCGGTTGATGCCCAAGTTTGACAGCTCGATTTCTTGAAAAGCAGTCAAGAGGTCCGAAATGGGTTCGCCTGGTGTGCCAGGAATGGGAGGGGTCGATGGTCGGTTCTGCGTTGGAACGGCGGAGAGCGCCCCGTTGCCTGTGGGAGCCTGGGGACGTAGCACTCCGGGCCTGAGATATCGCGTCGAGAGGCTGTACCCTCATTGCCGCAAGCGCCACAACTGGGAAACAACAGGAAATCTGCGTATGTGTTAGACCATATCATTCATGTAAACATATGTTAGACATACCTCTGCCCAAAAGCCACAAAGGGAAGCAACTGGACCACATGTGATTTGCATTGGTTTTGTGTGCAACCGGGGAATGCTTGTTCTTGGTTTCCCCGCAAAAACCACTCGCAACAAGGTGCCCTCAAACAAAACACCAGGTCTTGTGCAGGAACTCCGAGCCTCAAGACTCGGAGACTGGTCGTACCCCGGACCTGCTGCAAGCCGTGCTCCTTGTTCTGAAGCTCCACTGTGAATGCAAATGCCAATGCTGCTGATTGACAAGTTCGGCATTTCTGGGACAAACAGTTGGCATATCCAAGCTACGCTAGTGCTTGTCTCAGTGCTTGTGGAAACGGGGTGCTTCAAACCTGGTGGAGTTGCCTGGGGTAAATTGTGAAGCGACAAGATTCCATCGTCATCGACAGTGGAGGCAACGGCGCGGCACAAAACACGGCACACTAGCCCCCCACCCCAGAAGCGCACAGACCCCCAATAGAAGATAAGCTTGCCTCGGAAAGCAGGTCTGTGCACTTCCGTGTTTGCTTGTGTTCCTTGTTTGCTTTTCTTTTGTTGGTGGGGGGGAGGGGGTACCTTTAGAATCGCAAGGAATCTTGCAGGATTTACTGGTTGCCCCTTTGAAAACAAAGGACCCCCTAAAAGTGTCGACACCCTGTTTTAGGGGGTCCCTCTTTTCTTGTTGAAAGGGGAGTCAAAAGGTAACGCATGTTGACTCAGACTCTTACCTTGGTTCATGCCCGGGGTTGGGCTCCGGGGGTGGTTCCCCTTTGGCAAACGCGCTGTTTCCCGGCACACAAGCCTTCATTCTAATGGGGGTCAAATGGAGCTACCAAACTAAACGCATGGCTTCTCTTCAACAATTCTAAAAAAGGGGGATACCCACAAACAAACATGGCGCCCCAGTGTCAGACAGAGACGCCGTGAGACACCCGTTTCTGTGTTTTCTGCTCAAAACTGAGGCCCAGGCCCCGGTAGTAGGGCTTCCCAATTGATCTGAAGAACCTCGGCCGGTCGGTCGCCTTCAGTCTCCTTTGGGCTTGGGAAGCATCCCCAAAAGCCACTCACGAAATTCTACCGGAAACGAGCCCAAAGCCCTGGGCATCCAGTGGCTAAGTAACTCAGATTCTCTGTAGCTCGCGACGTGATCTTCACCCGTCCAGAGATCCGCTTTGTGGGCATCCATTTTGTTGCTTGGTCTCGGGCACCCTGCAACACGGAAGATCCCTAAATGACCAGGTTTCTCTAAATGGAGGACTCGGGAAAAAAGGCAAACAGAAACATGAACCCTAGCCAGTGTACCAAAGGCACCATGCGTGGCAACCTCGCAAAAGCAAAGCTGGAATTCGCCCAGGGGTTCTTGAAAGGCCAGTTTCTTCTTAAAGAGACCCCTGTGCAGGTTCTATAATTGCTTCCTGGGGGGAAGTTCAGGGACCTTCATCATGGGGCCAATCGCTTGAATTGCATTCAGAAACAATACATAGAATGACAATAACAATACACTTGCGAGTCCTGCATGTTCATGCAAGCCATATCCGCCATCAACATTCCTTGTGGGCAAAGCTCATAACTTTTTTGGGAGTCTTCCCAATCACATGAATAACCATCCCACAGAACCCAAGTGTGCAGTCTTTTGACCATGGCATATATGGGCATGTGTTCTGATTGGCGACTCTTTGTCAGATATTATTTACGTTATAGTTTGTGACCAACCATGAAAATCATGGTCACCGAGAGAAACCTTTACAAGCGTTGTTTATGCTGCAACTGAAAAATCATGGCCGTGTGTTGGGTTTGTTTTTGAAGGAACACTTTTTGAGGGTGTTGCCAGGGTGGGGCCAGCCTGTTTAACCTTTAAACAGCTACTGTTTCAACAGCCTCCTGTTGTTTTCCATGTCAGAGGGACAGGGGACCAGTTGTTTAACCATATCCTTGTCCCACTCTGATTCCAACCTCTCGATTTCTGAAGACTGAATCGGGGGATCTTCAAACCTTCCCCAACGCTTCCTAAGGAGCCCCAACCCCAAGACTCTCCAGAATTCCCTCCCGGAAGAATCCACCCCAGCCCTCCCTTCGGCAGTGGTTTCCCGCGCCTCAAGGGGACCGCAGCCGCAGACACCGTCTGGACCTCAGTCCAGCAGAACGGGAACCAAGGGCGACCTTTTCAACCACTCCACCCACATTTACCCTGCAAAGAGATCCAAATGGGGTCAAAGGTTGGTTTCTCTATTACCTACATGCACTGTGTGGGGTTTGTGGAACGGCTGATGCCCTAAATATTGCCAGTGAGCCAAGCACAAAGCATTGTGATTCAAAGGGTTTCCGTCCCTTGCTTGCATCCACCATGCTTTCGAGGGGACACTGAGGAGTTGCAGGGAAAACCAAAACAATGATCGCACAGTTTGGGGGTGGGGGCGTTGCCTTGGATGCCAATCCCAAACCTAGAGGAAACACTCGGGTTCAAACATCAATTTCGCGAAAGAAAAAATGAAGGAAAAAAAGAAAGAAAGAAAGAATGAAAAGCCACACAGAGTACACACTGCCTTCAAGACACCAGGAGACGCACCAGTAGCGTTTTGACGTGCATGTTCATGGAGGTCGCTATCCGGCTCATTGAGTCGGGGTTGGCTTTGCCAAGCTTCTCGGGCTGCGGCCGTGGCGAATCTGACGAATATCACAAATATCAAGGACCCGAACTGAAGAGGAATTGGAACCCTCAGATTTTTGGGGTCGCCGCTGGACGGTCCTGCCCCAAACCACTAACGAGAAATTGTCGAGTACCATATAGAGGCCAAAGGTATCATATTTCCCTTGGAGGCTCGTGCTTTGCGGGTAGTGGAACCCCTCGTATTACAGTATGTACAAGTCGTACAAGTAAATCTGAAAAATGAGAACAATCCATCGTCAACGGAGCCTTCATGGTTCCGGGAACTCGCTTAAACCTGGCCTCAATGGGCGTTGATTGAAATCAACCACAAAGGCGGCCTTAGGTTCTGCGCTGATGCCCTAGCAAGTGAAACAACCTTACATTCCCAGATCCAGCACTCATTTTTCCATGAAGTTCGATAAGAAGCATTTTCTCTCCTTCATGACAATCAACGCGGCAGGGCAGAACAGGCAGCGCGTTCACTTGGGATCTTTGCGAGCTCTGGCCCTGATTAACTTTCTTTCCGCTCGCAACTCCGCTAGTGTTCCCCTTCAACAAAGGCCCATGGTATTCTGCCGTTCCCAACATGTGTAAGCAGCCCTACTTTCGGAATGTGTGAAAAGCAAGGATCAGCCACGCAATCTGTCTGGGTGAAAACAACCAACAGAAAGTCTGAACTGTTTGTGCACCACCAGAATGACTTGCCCGACAACAGTACTGTATGTGATGTTCATAAACTTGGTTTCTAAGTCGCCCCTCTATCCAAATCAAGGGCCCAATTTGGAAGTGTCTGCAAAGAATGGACAAGAAACAAACGTGGCGAGACAGAAGGGTCCCTAACCACTAGGAGTCCCAAACAACAGAACATTCTCGGGCTACTTTCCACAACCTTCACAGGCAAAGACCCATCCGGACCAGAAGGAAAGCAAACAAGGCTTCTTAACAGTCAAGTTGAACAAGACCCGAAATGGAATGGGTTCCCGTGGGTTTCCTAAAAAGAAAAGAAAAAAGAACAGGTGATCTCTCTGCGCGGTTTCCCTGTCCGCTCCTAACCCGCGCTGAACTGTTGGGCTTTGGCCGCCCCACCGCCTGGCCAAAGTCCATTAGCCGCGCTGTGCAGCCCGGCCTCGGCCGCACGAGGTGAAAGCAAGCCCATGGCATGATTGCCTTTATGTCCGTGGAGGACGAACGCAAAAACGTTACACGGGGTTGCGCAGAGATCCTACCTGTTCGGCCAACAAACAAACTGTCAAAGCAAGCCTTGCGCAGGCAAACATGATCACAAACTTCCAGAGGGTTCTTAATACATACCCTACTAGTCTCAAATATCATACCTAGGAAACCAAACATGCAATATCTAGTGTTTTTTTTTTTTTTTTTTTTTTTTTTTTTTTTGGGGTACGTCTTTGCGGTTAAAATCAAACGAAAGCCTTTATGTCCAAACCTGCGCGCACGTTGGCCTGCCAAGTTGGGCCGAGTGCTGACTCCTCATGGCCTTTACAAGCTATGATGCAATAACCTACTGCAGGGTCCGATAGTGGCAGCCTTGCACTGCGAAGTGGAATCGCAGGGCTAAGATATCATCAGTGCCAAACTGAACTCGGCTTGCTGAATCACATGCTGTTGATAATTCAAAGGATGCTGTTTGGGGTTCGCGCAGTAGTGACACGCGCGAAACTTCCACACATCCCTCTCAACAAAGCCATGAAAGCCACACCCACACTGATTCGTGATACTCAAGGCTGAGCCGAAAGATACCCGTATTGAAAATCAAGAGTCCAATACGTTTTCGCTGCCTTGCCAAGGGCGGTCTTCATAGAACTGCTGCCCCCAAATGCTACACCGAGCCTCTCAAATAGGTGTCACACGCGAACGCGCTACCTAAGCTGGGAGCACCTACCAAGGGCACACAGCACAACTCCTCTTGGAGACACCTTCATCTGTGGCTGCGGTGGACTTGCGCAAAACAAATATTTAGCTTTCTGCTGAACACCGCCCTGGCTTTCCTCTGGCTATACAAGCGTGGCTTACGACAAAAAAGAGGTTTCAAGCGTGCGAATTCAAGCGAGGGGTGGTAACAGGCCAACGCTGAACTTGCGCCTTCCTTGCACCAGCCCCCATGTTCGACTTTCGCGGCTAGTCTTGCAGCAAAATCCAGAACTTCAAATTCCAAGCGGCGGTCCAGCGAATGTGATGGGTCCAAAGCAAATTGGGATTATCCCTTACATAGGCAAATACAACGGAGTGTGTTGAGAACGGGGGAACAGCAGGGGGGCAGCCCCAAATTCATGGCGTGCCGGCCATGAAGTACTCATTTGCCACCTGGAAGAAAAATCGGGTGACCCTGTTGGAACCGTGCATATGGGCCATGAGGAAACCGGAAGGTCAAAGGCAAGATTCGCCTGGGTGGCAAGTAAGGTGTTCTGCCTTTGTTTCCAACCCAAAAGCCTTGGACCGAACGTGGACATGAAAAAGGTGTACTCATAGTACGTTAATTCCACAACTCAACATAAGAACTCCAAATGAAATGAATAACTCATCTAGGTGGGGTCGCAACAACCCAATGGGTGAAATCGCCGGAATCTCTTGGACCCGACAATTTCAGCACGCCGGAATCTCTGATTTTCCTCCGACTCGAATTAGAATCAAAGGTTGCCTTCAAGGCCCTTGCTTCATGACCAATTGACATGAAACCATCACGAGTCACAAAAGAGCCCTCAACGAGACTCCTCTAAACCCATCATCATCAACATCAAGAGGCCTTCTGTTTGATCCCGTCCGGGCGCCCGTGCTCAGGCCGGTCGATGAGAACATTCTCCAGGGAAATGTCCCGGTGGGCTGAAGCAGAGCGAAGTGGGAGGGGTTTGGTGACCCCCTGATTTGGAAAGCCTTGGTTGTTGCCTGTGGAATTTCCGTTGCCGTGTTAAAGTAAGTGAGATTCCTTGTGCGGTGAGGCTTCAAATGAGCGGAAAGCAAAAAGCTCCAACAGTTTGGGGGTCTCGGAAGGTTTGTGAGCGGGGCGGGGTTCACCCATGCGCGACTGCCTTCCAAATACCTGGTTGCAGAAAAATGTGTGAGACCCCCGGCGTCACTTTGCAATACGATCCGTGCGTCCCCCTCGTCTCTATCGCCGAACCGCAACTCATTCAAGATGGGTATACAGGCAAACCAACAAACATACATAGCTTTTGCCAGTGCAAGGGAGGAAAAATGTGCAGCGGGGTTTTCCATATGGAGGGCGCTGCGCTCAGAAGTGGCAGCGTCCCAGTGAATCATCCCTAGGAAGGTTGGCTCTTTTTCACCCTACCCTAGTCGTGGTTGAGGCGTGGGGTTTAGAAATCTGGTGTTTTCCCATTTGGGCGGGACAAGGACTGGGGAAGTTCGGACACAAAACAAATGAAAAGGTGGTCCTCGCCCTCCCACAAACTAACACAGAGTCCAGCTGAAGGTCCCATATCCTTTTTAAAATTACATGGTCCAGGGCCCCAGTCAAGTTCCGTGTTAGTTGATGGAAGGGTGGGTGGAGTTCCAGTCAAACCACCAATCCAGCATCACGAAACACGGAAGTGTTCTGCCTAGAGGCCTTCACTTCAACGCATTGCGGTCAGCCAAGCCCGTTCTGAACAGCTGATTCGGGGCCTGGCTCCGAATATGAAAGTCCTCCACAAAGGGAATTGTTCTGCCAGAACGGATGCAACCACCTCCTCAGGAGGTAATTACGTTGATCCCATTTTCCCCGGTCAACAAGAATCCTCAATCACCCAGCCGTCTCTGCGTCCGTGCCTATGCCATGCGCATGCAGATAGCGAACTGCATGAACCAGCTGCCACCTCAGCCCAAGACTTCAAGAGGTTTATGCGTCACGACTGGGGGGGCTTGCTAAAGCACCATATCTGGGCAAGGGGCACTCTAATCCGAATACACCACAAACAACCAGGGAAACCACTACAGCGTTGCATAATAGGCTTCTTAGTGGGTTGCTCTTCCCCCTGAGCAAAAGGTCCAACCTTTTGGAGAATGGAAACGCCGTTTGTTTCCACGTTGTCAATGGGCTAAGGTCGCATCAACAAAGTCCCCACCCAACAGCGGACTCACTAAGACTTGGCAACCAAAAGGTGATGCTGAAAGCACCTTGGAAGGGGAACTATAGGGGCCCATGAATCAAGCCCCAGAACTCGTGAGTTTCCCTTTGGCTTCCGCTTAAAGCCACCCAAAAAGGGCCACCCTCCAAAAGAACCAACCAAATGGCTCTAATGTTGGACCCTCTTTAATCCTCCCCCCACCCCCGCAACAGTGGACCCAGTCACTGCGGTCCTCAATAGTGAAGATCCTGGGGGTCTGGGTGGAACTTGGACTTGCTAGTGCTTACTTTAGTATTGCCAAGACTAAACTTAGTACTGCCAAGACGAACTCTCAGATTCCCAGTGCTTATTTTAGTATTGCCAAGATCAGATTCCAGTACTAGTTTAGTATTGGCAAGACTGAATTTAGTATTGCCAAAACCTACTCTCAGATTCCCAGCACTGAATTATTTAGTACTGGCAATTCTGATTTAGCTGGGAAGAGCCAGATTTTTCAGCAACCCCAAAACAGTCACATTCAAAAGGACCACGGCCTCGTGTGGGCAACCCCCTTTGTGTGACTGGTTGCCCTTACTTGAGTAAAATTTGATGGTTTGGGGATTATTTAAGAAAAATAGTTTGTAATGGTTGCCGGATTTGTTTCCCGTTTTTTTGCCCAGTTGCTTTTTGTCCCGATTGTTTTTCCGGCAATTTGCTTTCCGTCAAACAAACTTTCCACAATGCAGGACCCCAAAACAGTCACAGGATCCTGAATTAGGGAAAACACTTTCTACAATAGAGGCCCCAATAACAATTGGGGGTCCAACATTACTTGCGTGGCTATTTAGTTTGTGGCAAAGAACATATTGCTGGCAACCCGTGCCTGGCTAAGAGGGGCGCGAGTTTTGTGAGACTCGGTACCCTTGTTGAACTGCAATGACTCCTCGGTCCCTGATCCCTTTGGAAGAAAGAGCTGGTTTGTCGTAGAGCTTATATAGGACATGTTGTCACAAGGCACCTTTCAGCATCCGCACTCCTAAGCGGCACAAGTGCGCTGGCATGTGCTATTCACATGCAGCCAGCGCTTGCCGTGGGCCTTCGAACCGCGTTTTCGCCACACCAAAAACCGCCGAGCGTTGAAGCTTCCTGGGCAACTTGAGTACGCGGTATGACCTGGTACCGAGAAATATTGCATTGACTCTCACGAAAGCGGCCTTGGAAAGGGGCATGACCCCCCCTGACCCCCTTTGTACCTGTTGAGTTCATGCCTTGAAGCTTGATCTTCCCTTTGGAACCCCGAAAAAGCACGGAGGCCCGTGTGGCCAACTCGAGACCAGGAAATCAAGAAGCCTGTCTAACAGGGGCCCACAGAGAAGACGCACGGGCCTTTGTTGTTTCTTTGTGCTCCGTTGGCTTCTGCGACTTGTCCCCATGTGACCCCCCCTATTTGTTTAAAAAAGGACTGGGCTTGTGAATCATTGCCTTTTCGTTGCATCCCGGGCTGAGTACTGTTCAAGTATTTTGCTCATACGTGGTTACGCGTCTGGTTGTAACAAGCATGTAGAGTGAATGGTTCAAACTTGCCCCTCCCCGTGTGACCCCCCAGCAGGTCACTCCAGACCCCCCACGAGCAGCGGACTATGCACCTTTCCTTTTCTGTGGTACTTGATTTTAAAGGAGTGTCCACACGGTTCCCCCCTTTAAAAAAAAAGAGAGAAAATAATAAAAGTTGCATAAAAAAACAACAATCAGGGTGTCTTGCCCTACGGTCCTCCCCCCCCCCCCCGCCGCCCCGCCCCAACCGCACGACCGCGGTTAACCGCCGGAAGGAACTCCGAGCTCTGGGCATCAGCTCCCGGACCCCGTCCTCGTTCAGCGCCAGGGCGCCGGCCTTGACCTACGGGGATGCCCCGATGCCCCGGGCTCGGGGGAGGGACTGTGGAAGCTCAGATGCCCAGCGGATTTCCACGGGAAAAACGAATACCAAAGGGCGCCCTCTTTTTTTGGGTTGGTGGAGTTTGAAAGGGGAACCCTTACCCCAAAAAAAGGGGGGAAAAGGGCGCTGCTGGGCAACGGAGGAAGAATGGAAGGATTGCCTTACACCCAGATTTGTTTGGGCCCTGCTTAAAAAACGGGGTAACTCTTGGCAACGAGTTAGGTGCCTTTGCACCATATCTCCTTGGGTATGTGTGTGTGTGTGTGTGCGTGGCAGAATAGGGATACGGACCCCCAAAATGGGGCTGGGTGTTCCTTTGGGGTTTCTTTGTGGGGTCTTGGAAATGCGGGTTCTTTGAGACTGTTAGGCACCCCTCTGACGCAAAAAGCCAAATGATTGAGGAACTTCATCTGCAAAAGTGTAGATTCCAAAGCCTGGAATAAGAATTGGATCCCCGAAAGGACCCATACATCATGGGTTTCGGCTCGTTTTACCTGCTGCGCTCGCCATAAATAGGCAGTTGGTCAAAGGGGGGGGTGTTTCCCGATCCGTCGTGGAACACAACAGGGGACATCGCCCCATGTTCGTAGCAAATGTTTGCCCAACCGTATTGGAAACCCTTGGTCGGTATATATATATATATCCGCTGTTTTAACCATGAAGGATATGTCCACCCTTTTTCACCCGTCAAAAGGAACCAACGGATGCTGATTACATACATACTTAATATACAATATATATATATATATATATGTGTTGAAACAAGTAGCAGTGGGCTAGCCCAACCCTGGTTAACATCAAGGACGTTTTCTGACAGATCAACAAAGAACAAGGGCTGGATCTTGGGCCGCGAATAAGTCTAACAAAGACCCATTCCCTTGTGGTTCCTTTTGGGGCAATTCAAAACATGGCCCACTAAGCACCCAGTCAGATCGCCTTTCCGCGGTACACCCCCCCATCCTCGCTTGGCCTCTTACTTGGTTCTCAGGTTTCTGGCCACGATGCATGGCCCTAGTCACAAATAGCCATAGGGTTGCGACGGTTCCTCTTGCGACTCTCGGAAAGAGTGTATGAATCAAATGGTCAGACAATTTCATAAGCGAATGTCGCGGGACGCCTATCCATTCAAGAGTCGCCCCTTTTTGCTCTTTGGAGAGAACATACTTGTTACTTGAAGGGTGGGCACCAGCCAAGGGGCTGGCGTAACTATCTTGCGACTCAGGCTAGGTACACCTCTAGACTATGAATCTTAAAGTGTGACTGGTGGTTGGGATTCGCTGTGGGTGAACATAGAATGTACAGTCCTTCCCTTTCCTCACCCAAGGAGATTGGGTCAAATGGGGGGACCCCGCTTCCTCTTGGCTTCCAGTGAAAAACCGAGCTGACAAAGGGTGCCGAGGCTTTAAACACCACAAACTCGTGTTCATTTTTGCGGGGGATTTGTGTCCGACCGTTATTGAGGGTGTTCCAACTGGCAGCCGTTGGTTTTTTGAGATTCATTCATAGGCAATTTGGAAGGTCGCTCCCCTTGAAGCGAAAAACAAAACATAAAACATTCATTCCATTTCAAGCCACCCAAAGTCCAACCTGGTGAAAAAGAAATTAGGACATACTAGGATCATGTCTTTTCGGGGTCGCAATCCTCTGAGGCATGTCGCGTGTCTCGAAAAGGTGTCCGTGGAAACCGCCTACTATGGAACCTTGGAGCCTCCTGAAAGATCATGTTGGTCTTCTCACTGATTCCATGGGTTCTGGAACACAACTGAACATTACTCCTCAAAAACTAAAGGCGTCTGGCGGGAAGAAAGGTCGTGTTTTCAATGGCTCAATCTTTTGATCATGGCATTTCGACCTCCCGTTTGAAAGAAACCAGGGAGCCACTGTTCAAGTAGGGGGGTTGAATCTGCCGAAACAAACTGACCTTCGATGCTCATGTCGACTCAATGTGTTCAACTGCTGCTTCAGGAACGCACACAACTATCAATCGTATTCCCTGTGTTGGCAAACCTGTTGGATTCCTCCCGGTCATCCCTCGATCCGCCCGATCCGCCCGATCCGCCCGATCCGCCCGCATGGAGTCGAGTCGCGTGGTTGAAGACCTCCCCGCCCTGGACGAACTCCGTGACCAACAGATCCTCCTCAGGGCCACCTTGAGGAGGAGCACCTCGCGCAACGCGCAGCGCTGCCCCGCTCCAAGTTTTACTCGATTTGAACAAGTTTTACTGTTGTGAAGAAACTGGCCTGAAACTTGTCAAACACGCAGCTTTTATCTGTCACAAACACTAGAGCCTTCAACCATCAAGGCAACTCACTTGGCATGCATGTCTTCGAATAGGGGAAGCCCCCCCAAAAATGGTAAGCTGTTGGTTTTCCATGGAAACAACCCCAAAAGTGCACTATCAGGGGCTAAGTAGTGACACACGTGATTCTCTTATGACAATGACATTATATAGTATGTGCAGCCCCAGTGTGAAGTATTATGATTCCTACCTAGGTCGTTGGGTCGATCTGAGATAGCTTAGGTCGTGGCACTGCTGCGCCTCAACACGGCAAACTTCTGAAACTCCATCACCAACAGCTCCGGCGGCAACTCCTTAACTACCCGCCGCATTTAAGAGGTTGGACCCCTCCCCTGGGTGGAATTCAGGGTGACGCGACAGACAGCAGCTCAATTTGCGTGCCAAAACGCGGCATGGAGGGGGACGGGGTCCAGCCCACGTATTTAAGCAGCGGGTGTGGGTGGCGGGCATGACACAACAGGATTTCTCCCAGACCCGTATTTCAGGATTGTTATGTCAAGTTCTCTGTGAGGTCGGGTGACCTTGCCATAATTTACTAGTGACACATGTACAACTCCAAAACAAGATACGTCCACGTGCGTGGGTACCCTGATGTGGACAACAATTTGGGAGTTCGTGTCCACCAACCACGCGTATATCCAACTCTTAAATTCATAGCCACGGTCCCGGTAGCCGAAAAGCGCGCCGCGCCTAAGAAGAAGGCATCGTGCATCCTCAACCTTCCGCTGGCCAGTCAGCTTTCTGGGGCCAGTGTGTCAAGTTTCCCGGATTGCAACTCTACCCTAAATAATTCAGCTTTCCTCCAATTGGTGGTTTGGGGGTGGGGGTAGTTTCTGATTTACCCGGCAAGAACCCAAAGTTCAAATCTGAAAGCCCCCAATCCAAACCACCAATTCTGGGTTGCCTGCCCTGATGTCCGCCATGGGCTCAATTCATGGGGCCATGGTACCTCGTGATGCCAAACCGAAAAGGCCAGCTTGATCGTGATCCGTATTGATGAGTTGCTTCCATGGAAAAAAATACTACTCGCAAGAGACACCACAGGTCGTGGGTTCAAATTTCGCTAAGCACTGAGTCTGGACTCTCTCCCTGCCAAGGCAATGAACCTACGCCAAGCGATGGTCCTGTCATGTGTGCGAAGACATGTTCACTAATGTTCACTTGTTGGCAATGCTTAAACTTTTGCGAACTATGGACCAAATTGTTGCATGCCTCATCTGTGCCTTTTATCTGATGTTAAAGAACGTCATACAAGCCAAGCAAAGCGCTGAAATGGATCAGCTGCTAGGATGTCTAACGTCACATCTCCAAAAGCCCGCGACATCAATCGTTGACCTTTTAGGACAATGTCCAAACATGGACCAAGGCTGCAACACAATGCCGGCAAAACTACTAGAAACAACCAAACCAGCCACACATATACACTCAGCATGTGGAAATGGTCCCAGCTTGGAGATGCTTGACAAAATGCTGCAACACAATTGCCCTTTTATTTTGAGGTGTTCACCACTTGAATCACATGTCTTTTCGGGAGATCGGTCTCGAAACCTTGCAACCAACAAAGAGTTTGAGTTCGGGTGAGCCGCTGGGTCTCACGGCCATCCACAGCTCGGGTGGGGCGACTTCGTGAGGGGAATGGTTGCCACAAACGCCAACTACTTTTCCATACGTAAGGTCCATAGAGGAAAGTGCCGTGCGAGATGCAGGGAAGTTCCTGTAACCAAATCCCCCTCAACCCATCCATGTAGCGGTCTGAAGCTGGGCCCTGCAATTTTCAAGGGGGACAACCGCAGGGTTGGGCAATTCAACCCCTTGCCTAAATCATGCTGCCATGGTTCAAATCATTCAACCTCTAAAACTGGTTTCCCTGCGCAAGAAGGGTCAGCTTGCTTAAACAAGTCCCAGACCCCCAGTGGCTATCGGAACAAAGGCACCGTTTTTACAGTTGCTTCTTGTTTCTGAAGGCAAACCCCTCCAAACAAAGGAAACAAAGGCACCACCGGAGGTCTGCTGGTCAAAGGTCAACCCTGCGAGTAAACCTTCTCGGGCGCTCGGGCAAGAAGAGAGGTAGGTCCGGCTGCTGCCTCACGAGACTCAGCTTCCTGTTCATGAAACTCGGCCCCTTGAAGTGTATTTTTATTGAGGGTATCTGTTTGGGCAAGGCCCAAACGGAAACCATCATTGAAATTGGTCGGATCCCCGTATTTTGACACATACCCATTTCAGCCAGTTCAAATACCAGAATAACAGCTGATTCGAGGATCCAAATCGCTGCAAAGCAATTTGTGGAACTCTGTTTGAAGCTACTGCTGACAATTCTGGAGGGCATTCAGAAATGTTCCTGCCTCTCTTCCGACAAATCCTGGAAGTGGAACGGGGGCTTGCCGAAAAAAGAACGCGCTTTCCCAACCCCTGCGAACCAAGGGTACCTCATAAAATTGACAAATTTGCTCCGAATACTCTTAACACCACAAACCTGGGGAGCCTTTCTTGATGGCGATGTTTTGGTGGTAAGCCCCATTGGGTGGTCCGCCTCTGATCGCCTCCCAAGTCGAAAATAGACGAATGCAACGAGTACGTATGTGAACTATCTGGCTGTTGCATGGAAAGCCTCGATTTGCTCATTGCTCGTTGACGCGCGGCAAAAAAGGTCACTACAACACAAAAGGTCGTTACCTGCTCATTTGCTCCCTGAAAGCTACTGTAGCCAGGTGGTCGATGTTCCCCACATTGGAACATTAGGGTGGTCCCCTCGTGTTGTGGAGGTGGGGTAAGACCCCCTGGAGGTGGACCGCTTCCAAGGAGCCCGGGCGGAAATCCCTTTTGGCGACACATGCCACTGACATAGTTCACCCCACAAGGACCTGGAAATAATAGAGGTCAACCTGCGGCCACAAAAGTCCAGAAAGAAACCTGAAAAGGCGAAAAGGTCGGCGGACAAGTGAGACAACCAATGACTACATCAATCGAAGTGCCAGATGCTTCCTGAAACAAGTCAGGAACAACTTGAGAGGGGGCCATTGGATGGCGATCGGCCACAACAAGCTCAACTGTATGTTGCCCAAAGAGTGAAAGAGTATTTCGGTCGAATCCAGGTGCAGGTCATCCAAAAGTGATGATGGAAACCCTGTTTCCTTGAAGGCCCATATTGGAAACACAATGGAGACAGGGATAGCTCTTGGAGCGAAACCGAGCGCAAACAATTGCCAACCCGCCTTGAAAGGGACGCAAGCGGGGTTTGCCTGTTGAGGGGTTCTCTTCATCTCTCTAAAATGGTCGAACAACAAAGATTGGACTCCAGACAGACTAGAGGAACTCATGCGAAGTTGGCCCCAGAGGTATTGAGGCCAACCGAAAAGGGAAACGTGGGGGAGGGGGGGGGGGGGCCAAGGCCAAACTTTTTTGCGTGGCACATACGCAAAGCTCAACGGTACCTCCCATCGCAACACCCATGGCCAACCCCTGATCCCATAGCTTCAGGCTTTTGCTTAGCCTCTTTCCAATCGTGTGGAAAAGTCGGCAATTCCTATGTTCTATGCTAGTGTGCCAAGTCCAGTTCCATTTTCGGTCTTTGAAGTTAGGTCTCGAGTGGATTGGCAAAAGCCCAAACCGTTGCCTCCAACTTTACTTCGAAGTGTCAAGCGGAACTGTGGAAGCGAGTCAATGAATTCGAGCTGTAACGGTTTTGTGTTGGCTTCCCTTCAGCTAAGTATGCCATGGATCATGGTTCCCAGATACCAACCTGTGCAATGGCTGTCTAAAATCCTGAAGGGCTTGCTGCCATCCCTGCCAGCCAAGTTTTTTCCGGGTGTTCTGACCATGGCACAAGTCGACAGCGCCCAAAACTCATGGGCTTTTGGTAAGGTGATAGAGGCATACTCAGCTGGGCCACTAGGCATCGGCTTTGGGCGCTCAAGTGGGTTCTCGGCCGGGCCCCTGGGCCTAAGGTAGGTAAGGACGCCAACTTCGGTCAGCGAATCCTCGAGAAGGCTCCATTGCTCGAAACGGATGACAGCCAATACGGGGGCCCTCACATGACCTCCCATGTACCCAACAGGGGGGAAGGTATGTGAGGAGTGATCCTTGATTGGAGGTGTGGCCCTCCCTTCCAGTCTATTGCGGGGTGGGGATGCTCAGCCCACTTCCATTTACCGCCTTAATGCAGGTCACTGAGGGAACCCTTCAAAGATCGGCAATGTCTAGATATCTGCTTAATATTGGTTGTTTCAGAGCCATAGCAGGAGGCCATTGCAGCCTAGTGGCTGTAGTGCATAGTTGGGGCCATCAAGGACTTTGGAGGGCTATGAACTTCCCATGGCGTCCTTTTCGGCTCTGAATCAGTTCAGAAAACAACACACCCACATGAACCCGGCCAAGGTTCATGTTTTTGCCGGAGCGAAAACCGCACGTATTCGTGCCCATTTTAGGAGATCAGCGACATGATGGGGTTGTGGGGGGGTCGAAGGGGGGGGATGATGGTTTGAAGTCATTCACTTTGCGGACACCTGGCGGTCAATCAACAGAAGAGCAGCGTCACGAAGCAGGTTGCACTGCAATGTGCGTCCCTCGCCTGGCAACAGAAGCCAAGCTTTTGCACCGCTTTGTCTCGCACAACAAAGTATCCAGCAGATGCGTTGCATACAGGCGCAATCGAGTTCTTGCTGGAAGCAAGCCGCGCACATCCCTTACAACTTGCCAGCGGCATCTGCCCGAATCCCCGAGTATGCAAAATGCTTCCAGTAGAGGTTCAGCAAAACTTACTCGACGGACTTGAAGGACACAGGCAAATGCTTGAAAGACTGACACGCACGAGGGCCAAAACAAAGCAGTAGTTGTCACGTGCGGGGGCGGGTTCTATGCTTGGCGTTTTTCCAGTTGCGGTTCCCTCTGGCTTTAACATCTGAAACATAACATACGCGTAGAAACGCGGGGCGCCCTATCGAAATGCTGATGGCCACAGAATTCCGTTACGGTTTCTGAAGGCATTGGAAGACGGCCGCTTTTAATGGTTCCTATTTCCCTTCTTTCTTGGAGTGCTTCCAACTACACGTTCGGTTTCCGACCCAGCGGGATGTGTTTGTTGTCAAACTTGGTGGCCATTTCCCCGCCTAAACAAATATGCGTGTTGGTTCGACATGAGCAAGGAAAACACACATTCTCCCAAAAGACTGAAGGCTATGTCGGCCCAGCCACATAGACACATCTTTGTTGGCACATGTCTGCTAAGCGTCAAAGGTCATTTCGGTCCAACATTTAGTTGCAGGTTGTGTCGGGCCAAGTAGGCGTGACCTCCTCACATGCGCCACGGCTAAACTACTTTCTCCCCACAAGGACATGGGAGATTGAGTCCCCTGGTTCTTGTGGGAAATTTCAAGTTTGTTCTCCCAGGCAACTCCCAAATGGACCACAGGCACAACAGAATAATGTTGACCGAGCATCAAAGACTAAGATTCTTATAGAGGTTTGTATAGGCCTTACTATGCTGGTTGCTAAATGTTGCTAAACCAGAAGAACGACCTATTCAAATGGCCTATAGGGATCGCTTTGTGCTGACCTGTCGGGTCCAGAGTCCCGTCCTCCGGATGAGGCACCCGTGGATCTCTAGGATTCCGATGCGCATCGCGGTCCTAAGCCCAGAGGAGTCCCTCTGCGTCTCAGTTTGACTTCATGGGTTTCGCCGGGTTTTGGAATATGTTGGCTTATATGCATTAATATAGGGTTTTAGCGGACTTTGTTCAGGACCCATAGCGGACCCCGATAGGCCTCAGGCAAAAAGATGCGTGTTTCGCCCCTGTTGGGATTGGGGCCCTTTTCCTGGAGTTTCCCTCTGATCCGTTCAACATGGTCTAAGGCTCAATAGGGCCATCATTTATTGAACAAATTCATGGCCAAATGAGTCTCCAATGCCCCTTGAAACTGGCTGGTCAGGTACCCATAGGAGAGATTCCAGGCACTTCTCCGCTGCGACTTTTTAGGGTGGCAAGTGTCCGCCTAGTATCTCGATATGCACGCTGGACTGAACAACCCGATATGGGAAACGTCGTTTTGTGAAGGCGGTTCAAACGGACAGCACCCGTTTTGGGAGTTGCCTCACCCCCGCTCCAAGAATAGCAGGGAATCCGACACGTCCCGTAGACAAACTTAACGGTTAACATCAAAGGGTTCAAAGTCACACTGCGGCCATGTATTCAAGGTGACGAGGATTGGTGCCTTGAACCAATGAACTAGTCGTGTTTTGTAATTGTCAGTGCGTGTGTTCCATCAGGGCATCGAGCTTTGCCTAGTGTGCCGACACCCCTAGGAAGCGGTTGAGGGAGCTTCGTCCTCACTCAAAGGCAAAATAAGTTTAGACGACAGCACATATTGGAATACCCAAAATTCACAGTCATGTCGGGGCTTGCCGTGATACCAGCGGTCAACTTCGTGTATACTTGTTTTTGTTTTTCATTTTCTTTTTTGCCCTTCTATACCTTTCCTATAAGACTCATACCTTGCCCATAAGACTCCAGCGAATCAGGCCAGTTAGCTCTCCTATAAAGCTGCCTGAGGCTCCAAGTTGCCCTTGATAAATGCACAAACCCAGGCTTGAAAGTAGGCTGTTCCACTGCACCGTACTCCCTCGGCAACAGCCCTTGACTTGTTCTACGATCCGTTCCTGAGATACTTGCCCACATGGACCCATGGATCATGCATGAAGGCTGCTTTTTTTGAAAGGCCATGGCCTTTTGACGTGGGACACAATCAGGCCCAATGTGAGGCTCTCAGAAAATTCGGGCTCCGCTGTTGAATGGCCGTTGAGCACGCGAAAGACATCCATTCAAAGTTATGGCTCTTGAATCAAGGGAAACAGCCTTGTTTTAGTTTCCCAAAATCCAGGTCCGGCTTCGGAAATCCAACTCAGGCCCCGGCAATGACCCATTGCCCTCGATTCCGGAGCACCTGTCGAGAATGGAATTTCACAGGCAGGAACGTAGTCTCGAAGGGATCTACTTCCAGGTTTGGTGGGAGGGTAATAGAGGTGTGCTTCTATAAACATGGTGCTTAAGTACCCCACAAACTTAGGTTATAGTGAGTAACAGTCTGTTGTTAGCATACCCAACATCAGTTGCTATGGCTAGCACACAAATACAGATCCATGTGCTAACTGCTTGCTACTTCCTGAACTGCAAGTATCAGGAGCTAAAACGTTACCAATAATTTACTCCTATAGTTCAAAAAATGGTTTGGTTTTCAAAGTACCCCCCACAACCCTGTTCTCATTCTTCCCTCATAGTACCAGCCCCTCAGAACAGGCGCCGTGGCAAGTTGCCTTGGCGCCTTGTTACCATCTTTCCCGTCATCATGGACGTGGGCAGGCTGTAAAAAGACTGCAGTCTTGGGTATGGTTGTGGGAAGTACCCCTTGTGAGACCAAAGTGGGCCAGATGACTACTTCCCTTCAAAGGGGGCTCCCTTGGCCACCCACAGAAAGTGGCAACCTAAAGCCCCATGCTTCACAATGATGTAGCTGGGGACAGCTCAAAGCAACGTTAGGTCTTGCAGCCATCATGGGCAGTTGATGACCAGCAATTTCCCTGCCGTATCGCCTGGGGTCATACCAAAGACTTCCTTATACGTGCCGTTGCCAAAACTGCAGCCATGAGTCATCCCTAAGGGATCCATGATCAGCAAACCCAAGAATGTCAAACCGTGGCACTGCCACCTTTGAACACCACCCAAAACACTCAGTGACCCCTAAACGATGATGTGTCACTAGAGAAATCGAGTTGGACCGGCTCCCTATCTGAAACACGAAAGACTCACTAGGGTGACATTTGAAACAACAGAAAGGAGAAACATAAATTTCTCAAAACGGTGGAACCCTTTGTAGTTGGCGCTGAAGGGAAACCAAAAAGAGAAAAACGTTTTAGGCGGCCCTATCTGGAGAAACACCCATATAGAAAATGATACTAAGCCTGATTCCAAGGATCCGACAAAAAACAACTCGCGGCAGCTGATTTTCACCAGCCCTGCCCCATTGCACTCGGCGTCATGCGATCACTGGGCCCACTATATCGATTGGTTCTATGTCAAAGTGATAAACTTCGCGTCTGTTGCCATTTAACAGCGGTGCTCCCATTTGACCTGATCGTCACAGGGGTAGAACTGTGGTCCCAAATTGGAAAGCCAAAGGACCCAATACCAACTTTTACCTTGTGGTTCGGAGCGCCATGGGAAAGGACCCCCGATCTGCAAGTGCGTAAACCATAAAGAAAACAAGTTCGCTCCCTCCGTTTAAAGCCTTTGAAGCTTCTTGCCAGCATAATTAACATCCTCACTTGCCAGGTGTCGCTGAACAAAAATAATTTTTACGCCCCATGCAAGAAGGAACGCCCTTCCCAAACATTGGAGGAAGGCTGGAATCCACTTGACTGGCAACTGGTTCTTAGCGTGTAAGGACAATCGGGCCTCGACCTGTCCCGCCGAAGACTAAACCTAAACTTTCAGGTGGCGACCCTGCATTTTGTTCATGCCTTACAAGGGCTGACAAGGCCCAAAAGTCTTCCAAGGCCCCTCCTCCCATGCACTCCTCAGTACTGCCCTCGGCCTTGGATTTGGGGGTTCTTCACCCTCAAACCCCAACCTGTTTGTGCGACCCAAGCCAGGAAAAATGGAGGCCAACAAAAACGATGGTGCTGCTCTTTGTTTGTCTGTCTGTCTGTCTGTCTGTCTGTCTGTCTTTCTGTCTGTCTGTCTGTCTGTTTTGTTGTTGTTTTTTTTGGGGGGGGTAGGAGAAATGAGGGTTGCAACCCCCCGTCTCTCCCTCCAAGCCCCGGGAGCCGGACGTGTTGTCCTGACGTGGAAAGGAAGGCATCGGGTGAAGGACACAGCAGATGAACAAGCCCAAGACGTGGCTTTCAGAGGAACCTCCCTTTGTTCAGGTCAAGCTGGGGTCAAAAAACATGGAAGCTGCCGAAGTGCTGCAAAACGACATCTCTTCGCGGGAGGTTTGCAGCCACGAAACATCCAAATCCACGATTCTTGGACAGAGGTGGAAAGCGGCCCCCAAGTCAGTCGAACACCAAAACCTTTTGGGCCGCAACTTCATTCCCCCAGAACACCCATGGTCTCATAATTTTCATGGACGCAAAGCGAGTAGCAAGCAGGGAACAAGGAAATGCTTCAAGGCTGGCAGGGTAGAACAATGGTCCCTGAAGGGAAACCAAAGGAGGCCGCTCACACACCAATTTTATACCCATTGTTTTTCCATCTGAAAGCTGTGGCGTCTCTGCCCAAATAATTCGGCTCCGGAGTGGGGAGCGGCTTGTAGACGGTTCTGGAAGGTTCTGGACATTCCACGGAGCCGGTGACGGGTACCACGAAGCGGCTGTTCTATCGAATTCCTGGTCGTCTGGGTTCCGAAGGTGGTTCGCCCGCTACGGGCTGGGGTTGATGAAGGGTTCTGGCAGTTGTTGGGCACACCACCAGGACTTGTTCAGTTGGCACGGTCCGGAGCAACCTGTGGTAGGGAAACCAAAAGGACATCAAACCATTTTGCGGAGCCTGTTTTTATCTGTTTTTTTTTATGAGACACACCTACATTGTAATCATAGGGACGCATGGATGCCGGGCCGGTTTTGGACCATGAGACTGTCAGAGTTAGGCCTTGTCAATTGAACGGCCCGCGCATGCGCAACCTATCGGAAGCCTATTTTCCATTTAAGGTTTCCGCCCCGAAGTTTGGCTCACGAGAGGTGGCAACCGAAAATCCTGAAGAAAAAAATGCAACAGGCCTTGTCGTCATTGAAAGACCGTAGGGAACCCAGTCAAAAAGCCAACGAGTACATGCTGCCCGTCAAAGGCGTTGCCGCAAACCGGAAAATAGAACTTGAGCAACCTGTAGGCGCGCATCGACAGCCACGGGAGGCGAGCGCGCATCCGAGGCCAGCATGGGCCGCCAAGCGGGCCAGGGTCGGAGAACAGGAACTGATCATTCCCATGGTAGAGACAGGGCACGCGCAGCGCAACCTCCAGGGCGGAATGCAAGGAAAAAGAGAAGCCAAGGCAGTGACCAGACAGCAAAATGGGACCGCCAAGAGCCAAGACACCGACCAAGTCCAAAGAGGAATTCAAACGCCAACGCCAGGGAAACGTGCCAGGGGCGAAAACTCCCCAAGCGGTAGCGGATGCGCAAAGACACCGGACATTTCTCAGGGAGAGAAGAAGCAAGGCGCACCCAAAGGTCCAGGAAGCAGGGCACCACCAGTGGAGGGCCAAAACATATGCAGCAGTGAGACACCGTGGCCAGGGAACAAACACAAACCCAGCGGGAGCCGCGAGGGCAAAGACAGAGCGGGACAAGAAAGTCGGGGGAGAGAGGACGCCGGCCACGAGCTGAGCTGGGAGGCAGCCGGAGAGCCAACAAGGCGAAAGGGCAGGCACGCCTGCAAGAACATCAGCACAGGAGCGAGGGATCGGAGTGGGTAGCCGGGTAGCCTGTGGCTTTGACCAAAATAACCAGCGGGACAGCGGCGGGCAAGGCCACTGAGTGCGACAGCCTGGAAGAGGAAGGGGCAGGGAAGACAATGAACCGGGCACAAACCACGAACACAAAGAAGAAGGAAGAAGGGGAGCTGCGTGCCGAGAGGGGGCAGGGGGAGTCTCCTTGATAGACACCCTCAGGGGAAGGGTTGTTAATAGTATGGTATCCCTCCGCAGTCAAACCTTGTTCAAACAGGGCACGATTTGGACAACTCCCACTTGTTCCAACAGAAACCGGCACCCTGGTATCCTGTCGTTTCGCTCGGGTGCGCCAAAGGGTCCACAAAAAACATCCCCACTTTGGACAAACCCCAATCCCGCGGAACAAAGGCGAGGAACACAAAAGCTTGATACCCCAAAGGGGGCTCCGCCGCTTTGAGCGGCTCGTGTAATGTTCGGACCACAGGCACTATCCTCTTGCGGGCTGCTGAAGGGGAACCCTAGCCAGTATGGAACCACTGAAGGTCTGGGAAAACGGCCGGATCGCTTTCAAGTCACCGGGTGTCCGCGCGTTGCATCTTCTTTCCGGCTACCGTCCGCACCTGCACGCACTTCGAGACTGCAATCCCCCCGCTTCCTGGGAGACTCCCGAGGGTTCCTCCCCTACAAAGTAACATGAGTGTGCAAAAGAGGTCCTCAATGTCCTCACAAAAAAAAGAGTTTCTGAAAATGTTGTTTTTGTTGGTTCCATGTTAGTCTGCAGAGAGTACCCGAGAGGGTCTTTGTCACTTCAAGGTGGATTGCATTGGCATCACGCGGCCCCAATTTTCTCGGTGTTCCGCTTTTCCGCATGAACAGGCCTGCTCTCAAACAGGTAGGGAGGAAGTCATCAACACATAAGCAGAACCAAAGGCCCTGTCACAAGCTATTCCACCTGGAAAAGCAAAACAAAAAGGATCAAACACCCGTTGTCCACACTTGTGGCTCTACCAGAAGGTTTGGAGCAATTCAAAATGACCCATCCCCGTTTGGCTTCCTGTTGGGAAAGTTAAGAAATGTGGGCTCGGCACGCCTGCGGCAAGCTGTCCTGGCGGATTCCTCTCCACCGTCCGGGTTTTCGTTTGCCTCGCCTGACCATCGGCCAGGGTCCACTGGTACAAAATCACCTTGCCGTTGATGGCGTCTGCAAGGGTCCGCACCTGGCGGAAGCTCTCAAGGACCCCCAAAATCAGATCCTCAGGGGGCGAAAAACACATACACACATTGTCCTCTTAAGCTCCTGACTTGTGGTGTTAAAGTACCCCACAACTGCATTCTAACTGTCTAGGACCGTATAGTACCTTTGGGGCTGAAGACCTAAGTTGGTTTCGTAGGTTTCATGTTGGATTCATGTTGGCTTCATGTTGATCGGACTCGAGGAGTCCCATACAACCTCTACATGTTGTGTTTCTTCTTTCTTCTGGGTTGTGTTCTCTTCGGGCAAGCAGTTTGAGATGCTTCAAACGGAACATGTTTTGCTTATAGAGGGCGCGTTATAAACCAACCATCACCTGGGTCACCCAGGATATAATTATGACTTCCGTTATTTCCCCCAAATCGTTCCGGGTCGACCCTTGCCGAGCACGAGTGGCGCTGTCTCGCAGATTGTGGCGACCCTTTAAGGGTTCGCGGGTAAGAGGAATGGGCTCAATGCAATGGTGGCTGCAACACTCCCCCTACCCAGAAGTAGTAGAATTCTCAGAACCTTAAGGCTTCCCAGGTTTGGTTGGGTGGCCTTAGGTGCTTCTCAACTCCACCTATGGAATTGAACGTGATCGCCCGCAAAACCTCGGGCTCGTATCGTGCTAGAAAAAGGCCCCTTCTCGTCCGCCGCGAAGGCAGCGTGGTACATTCTCAGACCTTGTTCAAGGCTAGAGCAGGCCCACTGAGTTTGAACTGCTCAAGGCCAGAGCAGGCCCAAGGTCGCACTGCAAAATGGCGAAGCTGTTCGGCTCTGGGTGGTCAATGCTGGCATAGACCAATAGGCCGCTTAGGCCGTCCAGCGGCTAGAGCGCCTGTTGCTGGCACCGCCCAACACGCTGAAGATAGCTTCGCGACACCATAACAGCCTTGTGGGGCACTGATCCGGCACAACCATTGGCACTGCCAAAAGTGAAGGGGTAATGGCCACTGGCGTCCAAGCGGAAGGCCCCGTGAACTCTTTGGCTGGGGTCCCCGGTCCATTCCGGCTTCAGAGTCGTGCAGGGCATCTGCAAGCACCAGGAGGTAGATCCAGGTGGGGCGCCAAAAGAGGGGGAAGTTGAAAGCTGTAACTGGAAGCGATCCATGGGGAATGCATCTTCCCTCCCATCCAATGTGGTCCCTCTAGCTGAGGCTCGAGTTGACTGCATTAGCGCAAGCTCGGGCTGAACACCCTCCATGGTTGTTTGTACTTTCCCCTTTTGCAAACCCCTATGAAATAGGGGAAAAAGGCGCCTGCCCAAACGCATACCACCACGTCCATACAACTACACTTGTGGCATTTCTCGCGTTGACCTCGCAGCATTACAAATTCCGAACGAGCGGGTGTCCTCATGTCCCCTATAAACATCGCATGTGCCCTTGAAACCACAGCCACTGTCATACCAATGGAAGGGCTTCCAACCCTGGTGTTCCCCAAGAATGGAACCTTGGCCTCAAATCGGGTGCACACCAATTTTGTTTTTGTGAGCTCGATCGCTCAAAATACGCAAGCAGGGTGGTTTAAGGTCAAATCTGGGTGCCTCATCCATGGGACACAAATGTTAGCTTCGGATTAGATCAACCGTACGAGTCAGCCGCTCCCATAAGAAAATAACCAATAGGAGGGCCTCTGACTAGGGTCCTCCACACTGTTTTTGTCAGGGTCTCGTTTGGGAAACCGGGGCAGGGGTGGAGAGAGCGGCTTTGGATCCGATCTGCGGCCGGCCTTTGTAAAGACTCCATGGGCCAGAGGGTTGTGCACGTGAAAGACAGGCAAGCCATGGAACCTGCGCCATGGATAAACCCAGCTTCGATGCTTCAGCTACCAGGGTATAGAAGTACCCTTTATCTAGTGGCCGGAAAAAAAAAGGCATGTGCCTAAGCTGCTCAAATGAAGTGTTGGAACCGCAATCCGAGTTTCCATATCCCCTGCTGGAAAGCCACTACAAAGTCTTTCAAGGCAAGAAGAAAAACGCGAGAATGCACACACACACACAGACAAACAGATTCACAGGCACAAAAACAAAGACAGAAAGACGAAAACACGCGCACACACACACAAAACACACAAACACGCACAAACACAAACACAGACAGAGACACAGACGCAATAATGCAGACGCAAGCACGAATACAAATACAAACGCAAACGCAAATACACACAAACACAAACAAACAAACACACACACACAAATCAACAAACAAACAACACACTGCAACGATGAAGCAAGCACACAGACACACATACACACACACACACACACACACACACACACACACACACACACACACACGCAAACACACGCAAACACACACACACAACCACACACACACACACACACCCACGCACGCACGCACGCACGCACGCACGCACGCACGCACGCACGCACGCACGCACGCACGCACGCACGCACGCACGCACCCACACACACACACACACCCACGCACGCACGCACGCACGCACGCACGCACGCACGCATGCACGCACATACACATACGCACACACGCACAAACACACAAACACACAAACACACAAACACATATACATATATATATATATACACGCATACTCACGAGCACACACGCGCACGCACATGCACACGCAGAAGCACACATGCCCGCACATGCACACCTGCACACCGGCACACACGCGCACACGCACACACGCGCACGCACACGCGCACGCACTTGCACGCGCGCGCGCACACACGCACACACAAACACACACAGACATAGCAACACACAAAGACACAACACACACACGCACACTCACACAAACACAAAGACACAACAACACAAACCCAAAAAACACGCAAACACACAAACACGCAGGCACAAACACACACACACAAAGAAACTCAGAGCACGAACACACAAGCACGCAAACAGGCAAACACACAAACATAAAGACACACACAAACGCACTAACACACTATAACACACTAACGCACACACGCACTAAGACTAACACATTAACACACACACACACCCACACGCGAACACGCGCGCGCACACGCACGCCCGCACGCCCGCACGCCCGCACGCCTGCGCACGCACGCGCTCACACAAACACAAACACACAGACACACACGCAAGCAGACACACACAAACACACAAAAAGCACAAACACACAAAAACACGTATATGCAAACACGAAGACACACACAAGCACAAACACAAACACAAACACACACACACACACAAACTCGCAACCACACTCACAAATACACAAACACAAGCCTTACACACAAACACACAACAACACAAACACACAAACACACTCCCCGAATATGCGAAAAAGCAAAGCGAGCCCCCGCCCGGAAAGGCCAAAGAATGCCAGAAGGCGAGGTCTTCAATTGTACCGAGCAGTTCTGCTCCAGCTGCCCGGCGAAAGCCTGCGGACCAAAACATCAGGGACCCCCTTTGTCCTACCCGCCAAAAGCCAACGGAGCGTGGCTTCGTGGATGACGCGGTCTGTCCTGCCTGTTGACGTGAGTGGCTTCGCCTGCCCGTTGTTGGCACGTTGTTGGGCGGTATTGGCGGTGGGTGGGCCACCAGGTTCCCAGGTTCCGCGGCGCCTTGCTCGCACCCGCCAGGCTCTTTGTTGGTGTGGGGTCTTGGCGCTTGGGGCCAGGCCACGACTGATTCGCAGAATGCTTACGGGCAAGGCTGCAGTCAAGCCATGACTGCCGCGTGCACTTCCGTGTCTTCAACCACCAGCTGCAGACAAGGCGGCATGGTTAGCGAAGCCCCGAGTGCAAGGCTGAGCAGGAGTCCCAAAAACGTGCTTCGCCATAGGAGCTCGGCTTCGGCGCTGTAACTTCACTATCCAAGATTGAGGGCGTGCCTCGAGGCAGGCTTATCATTGGCCGATGAACCCGCAGCCTCTCCTTCACACTAGATGCTCATTCATCTTCAGTCCCACGCGAATACCACCTCACGGACGGATAGACTATGACGAAGAAGCGCCAAGCCGTCGACACCCTCAGGATCTTCTCCAGCTGCAAGTCAATCACACTCAGCATTCGACGCACGCTCCACTTCTAACAATACGCATCCCATCGTCAGTCAAGCCGGCAAGCAGGAAAGGCCCAAACGTCACAGCGGCAACCACAAAACAGCGCAGCGGTGGAGCCGAAGGCAGCGAAGAGGGTGGCCAGGCTGTGGCCGTCGTGCTGTCCGTGTGGGGCGACTCGGCCAAACGAACAAACAGACAGAAAGACAAACAAACAAACAAATAAATAAATAAACAAACAATGCAACACACACACACACGCAGACATGCGCACAAACACAAACACAACACAAACACACACACACAGACACAGAGACACAGAGACACAGAGACACAAAGACACAGAGACACAGAGACACAGAGACACAGAGACACAGAGACGCAGAGACACAGCGACACAGAGATACAGAGACACAGAGACACAGAGACACACAGACACACAGACACACAGGCAGACAGACACACAGACACACACACAGACATACACACACACACACGCACGCACGCACGCATGCACGCACGCACGCACAGACATACACACACACACGCAAGCACGCACGCACACACACACACACACACACACACACACACCCACGCACGCACACACGCACGCACGCACACACACACACACAGACGCACACACACACACACACACACACACACACACACACGCAGACACACAGACACACAAACACACATGCACATGCGCGAGAACTCTCACACACATGCACATGCGCACGTGCACGTGCACGCGCAAGCACACACACACAGACACACGCGCGCGCACGCAAGCAGACACGCACACAGGCGCACCCACACACCCACACACCCACGCACACAAAAACACACACACACACAAACAAACAAACAAACAAACAAACAAACAAACAAGCAAGAAAAACAAACAAACAGACAGACAGACAGACAAACAAACAAACAATCAAACACACATTGTCACACACACACACCCAGACACACACGCACCCACACACAATCACGCGCACACACACACACGCCCAAGCACACGCACATGCACATGCACACGCACACGCACACCCACCCACCCACACACACACACACTCCCACCCCACACACACACACACACGCAGACACACAGACACACAAACACACATGCACATGCGCGAGAACCCTCACACACATGCACATGCGCACGTGCACGTGCACGCGCAAGCGCACGCAAGCAGACACGCACACAGGCGCACCCACACACCCACACACCCACGCACACAAACACACACAAACAAACAAACAGACAGACAGACAGACAGACAGACAGACAGACAGACAGACAGACAAACAGACAGACAATTAAACAAACAAACAAAGAAACACACATTGTCACACACACAGACACACACACACACACGCACGCACGCACGCACGCACGCACCCACCCACACACACACACGCACGCACGCACGCACGCACGCACGCACGCACGCACGCACGCACGCACGCACGCACGCACGCACGCACGCACGCACACACGCACACACACACACGCACGCACGCACGCACGCACGCACGCACGCACGCAGACACGCACGCACGCACGCACGCACGCCCGCGCGCGCGCGCGCGCACACGCACACGCACACGCACACGCACACGCACACGCACACGCACACGCACACGCACACGCACACGCACACGCACCCACACACACACACACACACTCCCACCCACCCACACACACACACACACACCACACACACACACACGAGCGGATGCGCACGAACACACACACACAAACACAAACACAAACACAACACAAACACACAAAGACACAGAAACACAGAAACACACAAACAATCACACACACACACACATACCCACAGACACACACACACACTAACACGCATGTGTGTGTGTGTGATAGGCTTTGGCCAAACCACGGAGCTTCGGTATAACCCCACTCCCCTTATAAGCCCCCTCATGTTTCCCTAAAAAAGACCCTACTAAGGCATCATTAGAGGAGGTTGGGGGAGGGCGACCATGTCCATTCCCGACAACTCTCTAGGCTGAACTGCTTGGGCAAGGGAAGCACAGACTGGGCTTGCGAGCGAGGATCCGGAATGGGATCGCAAGACTCAAGTGATACTAATGAAAGAGTTCCAAATTCGCAAAGAAGAAGTTGATCCAACCACCCGGGAGTTTCTCAAAATGGTCGCTATTGGGACAACCCAGTTTTTTTTGCAGTTTCGGCACACACATTTTGGGGGTCTTTCTCTATTTCGACAGATACTCACCAAAGGCTATCCCTTTTTGGGAGTCGTTGAGAAACACCCATCCCTGCCGCGCCGGTCCCTACCCTGAGCTGCAAGCGTCCGAGCCGGGCCCCGGACGCCGCCAAGTCGGTGTCATGCGGGCCGGGCACAGCCATAAGGCGCTCGCCAACGGCGACTCCGTTGGCTGTTCGTTAAGGGAGCGTGCGTGGCTGGAGGTGTCTCTTGGAAGGAGCCAGAAAACGCCGAGTCTCTTCTTTGTTTGTGTTGCTGCTTCTTACTCTTTTGACTTGTGTTCTGGGGTCAAACTGTGAAACCTGTGCGTTTGTCAAGAGTGGTTCTCCCACGTGTTTGCTTGTCATCCTGGGACCAACACAACATAAACAACATGCATTCATCTGCATTCTTGTGTGTCTGCCAAGTGTTCTCTCCGTCCTTTGTTTTACACAGGCGATCCTCGCTGAGGAGCCATTCGGAACGCCATTGAAGGTCGCGGCCTCGAACCTCTTCGGTGCCCCTTAACATCCATGAGCGAAGTTCCAAAATGGTTGGACCTCTCAAACATGAGCAAAACACACAGGAAAACACGTCCTTGGAGCAAGAAAAATAAGCAACATGGGCAAAACTCGGCCCATGTCCTTCCCACAAAAACACCACTTCCTTTGAGTTCGCCCGAGTAATCCCTGCGCGCAACAAAGGATCTCTCGGTTCCAGGTTCGCCGGCGAAGCAAGCCGAGAGCTGACTCATCTGGGGCGCCTTCAGCAAGCTGGTTTCACCCCCCCAGAATTGCAGGTCAAACAATGACAAGTTGCCTCATATCTGACGTCACGCTTCTTGGGGCTCGCAAATTGGCAGTCAAAAGAATTCCAGTGACCTCTGGGACTCCTCTGGGGTGCACCATGGATTTGATTGCCATGAGCGGCTGCAGAAAGCCCCTCACTTTGACTATGCACTTTTGCAGCATCGACTTCAGCCCGCAACTTGCACATTTCAGGACTTCTGTGTTGCGCCCTTGCCTTTTCGCGGCCCAAGCGCCAAAGGATCTCTTGACTTTGTAGCATATGGGAGGACATTTCTGTTGGTTGGTGTTAACAGGACACCACCATGTTGGGGGGTCCCTGATTCAAAGAAAAAACAAACAAACAATGCTCTACTGGAAGCTCCTTAACCAAAGCAGGGCGACTCGTTTGCGGAGACGGAAGCGAAGCCGATTCAAGGGGTGAGGTTCAGGCTGCATACATCCATGTAGCTTTTGGAGTGGCCCAAAGAATGTGGTTTTTCTCTATTTTCGGCTACTCTTCCGAACGGTTGCATGTTAGTGCACAGAAGGGTCATGTATTGTGTAGAGCCAAGCCCCTTGTTTTCAACACTTGGCGCTGAGGTGCGCGTTCCTAGAACATGTCCTTTTTCCATCTTCACCAGCTGCTTTTGCATTTTGCCCTCCATGCCAAAACCTTGTATGGGTGTGGGTGAAAAAACGGTACCCAAAATGGAGCCATGGCAATTGGAAACATGGACCAAAACCTGCGGTCCTCTGATGGCTTAATTTTGACCCATACCCATATGAAGGAAACAATCCAAGTCGCTACCCCCAAACCTACCGCTTCCTTGTGGCCAAGCCCGGAGGAACCTTCCTGGGCCTCGGTTTTCCCCCATGAATCATCTTTTGTCAAAGCACAGCTCGGAGCCAGTTGCACAACCCGAAGAACTCAAATGGCATGGTTTTACAGGGGAACCCACCAAGGCGGAAAAAAGTGAAATCCATTGGGCTGGGAAAAACGATAAGACTGGGAGCCTACCACTTCGTTTAAGTCTGGGGCAATCAACAAATGAGACCCTGGTGACTCAATCCCCCTCTTTCAAAAAATAGTTTGGCAGAATGCTGCGGACCATGGATCGGAGGTGAAGAAAGAAGGACAGCAAAAAATCGGCCCCTAAGCGCAATGGCAAAATAAGTCTTGAAGTTCCATTCAGTGGGGAAAAAAGGGCCACTCCAAGAGTTACAAAAGGGCGACCTACAATGTATGGTCTCATTCTTATAGTTAGTGGGGAAAATAAGGATGTTCCAATAAAGCTACTCAAGTTACGGTCTAAAAATCCATGCAAGCAGTCAAGCCCGAGTCGAGTTGCGTTGCAAGCGAGTCCTTTTCTCTCGGCAGACGTGGGGATCGCATTGCTGGCAGCAGACCTTGGGGAGGTCGCAGCGGATTGGGCTCTCAGGGACTCAGGGATACGGCCGAACCTGGCCACACGCGTGTCCTTCCCTGAAGGCTTCTTGATCCAACCCGTCAACCCGTGAAAGCTTCGCGTCTTTCCAAGGGGCTGTTTCAGGTCATCTCCCAGGGCCCTCCTCAATTCCATACCGGGCTGATCAAGAACCCCATGCTCGCGTTAACCCCCCCTTCAGTGACTTCATTTTACTCAGTAAAGCAAGCAACCGCCCAAAAAGTATCTCGTCCCAAGAAGATGCATCTATTACGAGCAGGCCCACCCCCAAACAAACCAAAGAGGACACGTAGAACCCCTATGCCTTTCAGCCGGGCCTATCCGCCGAGCGGCGAAAGGCATCAGTGGTGGCCACCGGAAGAGCGGCCAGAAGCCTGCGCTCGGCGTTTTGGTCGGGGGTTGCCGATGACATCCCTAAGTTTCCACAGTCAGAAGACAAATCTTGTGTTTGGAGGAGCTTACCATGTGCAGAATTCCGAACAAATTTATGGTCTCGACCGCCCATGACTAGCCTTCGTCAACATCTGCTCGGCTCGAAGACCCTGGAGCAACAACAAGTTGGTTCATTCCATCTTTGCGTATAGGTAATCTCTATTCGGAGCCCCCGTTCAAGGCAGGTGCTGGCATCTGGGCGACAAGCAAGCGTGGTGCCTTTTCGCTTCGCCTTTCTGTGATACCAACATGGGCAATCGGATATCTTCCAGCTGCCCATCGCGAATCAACTGAAACACAAACCGCGGCAATGAACCGCAGGCGAAGAGAACCAGCCAGCTAGTAAACAAAACAGACTCAAACTACCAAACATCAAAACACAAAGCCACGCCGCCCAAACTAGAATAGCGCCATCCCCCCCAGAATCAGCGCTTCCCAGCCAGTCACGCTTATTTTCCAGGCCAAAAAACCAAGCAAAGCTGGTTTGCTTTCTCTCCGAATTGATGGCAGGATGAATAGTACCAGACTATGCCATCATAGTGCAAAATAATCCTGGTCACATCTTTGAACTTTGTCACTGACACAAAAATGGCATGCGAGCCGGACTCTTGCACGCAAAGCTGGTCGGTTGGTGACGCGATGCGCCATGAGAGTGCGCTATGTGTCCCTCCCTTCTTTTCACCCCTTTCCCTGCTGTCCGCCTTGTCTCTGGTTCAGCGGGCGCATGCCATTTGCTTTCTGCTGGCTGCCTTTTGAGTTGACCACCCCCAGAAATCCAACCGAATCCCCAGGTAGGGGGCGGGACATGAGTGAAGTCGCTGATCCGCCACACCCGGTGACTTCCTGATGTGAGCAACGGAAGTGCCAAAACCGGCTTCCCGGCACCGCGCCCTTCGAATGGATCCATGCAGTTCAACATCATTGTGAAATCTGGGGCTTTACCCCCCAGAAGCCGCAAGGATTCGGAAGGAACCTTCTGGTGGGTAGGAGGGCAGTACTGAGTAGTCCCAATGCTTCTGTAGACTCTTGGTGATCATCATTCCTAGGCTTGCAACGCGAAATCCTTTGTGAGGTCATAATTGAATTGCCCACGTTACTTCGATCACACCGGTCAGGGCAAGAGGGTGGGATCACAGAGGGTGTAAGCAAGATTCCCGTGGCCAAAAACTCTTTCAAGCCACAGAAAGTGGCAATCCTGCCTAAAACACATCCCGAGGGGGCAAGCACGTCTTCCCGACGTCCAGACTGTCCAAACTTCGAAACCGGGGTGACACCCTCCGAAAAGGTCAATTCAACTTCTAACGACTTCCATCCTACCTCAGTGACCAAACATGATATGTAAGATGAACTGAACCTCAACATCCTCAGCATATCAAATCATTCCAAAAGATATCTCGGCAACGACTTCCAACCACGTCCGGCCAAGGCCTGCTTTTGGGCTTCCGCGTTCCTGAACTGGACGTAGCCATAAGCGTGGTACGCAGCCCCCAGGAAGGTAAGGATCAGTGCCTGAGTCACACCGGCTTGAAGGGCTCAGGACCCGGGAGGAAAGAAAAGGAAGCTAAGAGGAAGGACGGAGAACGGCCACCAAGAAGGAGTCACAAATACAAACAGCAACAACAAGTATCCGGCATCCCGCTCCTCCCAACAAACATCAAGTAAACGAGAATCGGAATCGACAATGCCCGTTCATCCCAACACGCAAACGAAATGTTCCACCTGTTCATGCTCCCCCAAAACCAAAACAAACGCATGCTGACTCTCCGGCCGTATGGCCACAGGAAAAGGAAACCCCATCTTGGTTGATGTTTTTGGTTAGCTGCTTGGTTGGTTGGGACCGGACTCTGGACATGGCTGCGAATCCCTGTTCGTCCCAAGAACACGAAGTGGTGAACTGTGGATACTCAACAGTCCTTGAAGCCGGTTTCCATTTAGAAAGGGAACAAACTGGTGAGCTTTGTGTGGGGGGGAGGTGACTAAAAAGTGAGACACACGTGTACCCAATATATCGTCTAAATCCGTAGTTTCAGCGGCCGAAAAGCCGTGTTGGTTGGACTCGATCCCTAACCTCCAAGTGCCCAAGTTTGATTTCCCGCCCATGTGGGCTTCCTTACAACTGCTGCTTTCCCGTAGAGCCTTGGCACCTTTGTTCTGGTCTCTTCAAAATGAAAGGCTGACTCTCTGCAGCAATCACTGCAAAGAGGCCCGACAAGGAACAACTAAGGATTGCTCAACAACCAAGTCCTTTGATTCTCTTGAGTGGATCGGCCTAAAACAAGTCCGAAGAGCTTTGTTTGCCCCAAAACGTGGCTCCAGTCCGTCCCCCGAGCCCCGGAGGTCGTGGCCCCGAAGTTGGCGAGCACGGCCACCTGGGCCAGAAGTTGCGAAAGGATGGCAACTAGGTCCTGCAGCAGAGAGGTTAGAATAAGGGAACCCAATTTTTCTGTAGTCTATTTCAGTAGGGGAACCCTCCCCCAGAAAGGGCAAAAGGGCACTACGGGGGGACTTAGCCAAGGGCTCGGTTCTCGTTTCTGC